CAGTGAGTACAGTGAGTACAGTGAGTACAGTGAGTACAGTGAGTGCTATGAATGTTATATATAATCAATATGCACTATTAGTTGACCTTCAAGTAGCTGATATGTGTGACATAACTAAAATCTATCAGCATTTACGAGCGATAGCTTAAAAAATTGTGCCTCATGTACCTAATGATATGTGATGAACATGCAAAATGTAATATAATCTTCACCTATACATTTCGTATGGTTTATCATCCAGACGATTTATCAATTGATCATCGCACTGAAATTGAACTACGAAGAAATACTATCAAATACTATCATACATGAAGAAATATTCTTATGCTATAAGTTCATAATATAATTGTGATCTATTTGTTCAGTGTATCGTACTTCGCTGGGTACGAGAAGGCGTTGCAGGTCGCCATCTCCATCTGCATCATCGTCGCCATCGTCCTGCTCTTCGTCTCGATCTACAACGTCAGACACAGGTGACGTGTCTCATCGTCTCACTGCACGGCTCAGGTGACGTGTCTCATCGTCTCACTGCACGGCACAGGTGACGTGTCTCATCGTCTCACTGCACGGCACAGGTGACGTGTCTCATCGTCTCACTGTACGGCTCAGGTGACGTGTCTCATCGTCTCACTGTACGGCACAGGTGACGTGTCTCATCGTCTCACTGTACGGCACAGGTGACATGGTTCATCGTCTCACTGCTTGCTCTTCGTCTCACTGCTTGCTCTTCGTCTCACTGTACGGCACAGGTGACATGTCTCTTCGTCTCACTGTATGGCACAGGTGACGTGTCTCATCGTCTCACTGTACGGCTCAGGTGAGTCTGAGGTGACATGGTTCATCGTCTCACTGCTTTCTCTTCGTCTCACTGCTTTCTCTTCGTCTCACTGCTTGCTCGTCGTCTCACTGCTTGCTCGTCGTCTCACTGCTTGCTCTTCGTCTTTTTTAACTTGAGAGACCAACAATACCCAATATAATGTTATTACGAATAAAATATGTGTTGAAAATTATGTAAGAGAATTAGAGGATTTTTTTTGCAGAGCGCGCGGTGGCGGCGAACTCTCGCCTTACCTGCTGCGTATACTGCGCCGGCGCACCAACGAGGGGACCAGACAGGTGAGGGTAACTGGGGTGGAGTGAGGGAAAATGAGGGTTAAGTGGGGGTAAAATGAGGAGTATATGATGGGAAAATGCGGGTCAAATGAGTGTTAAGTACGATTCAAATGAAGGTCAAATGCTGGTTGAATGAGAGTAAAATGAGGGGAAAATGCGGGTCAATTGAGAGTAAAATGAGGGTCGAATGTGAGTGAAACGAGGGTTTGGTGAAAACTAAATGAATAGAAAATGTGGTCAAATGACGATAAAATGAGGTTGAACTAAGAATCGAATGAGGATCAAATGAGCGTTAAAAGAGGATCAAAACAGGGTAAAATGAGAAATAAATGAGTACGTAATGCGGGTCAGATAAATAAATGTCCCCTGTAGTACTACGCTGAATTTCTGCTCGATAAACTCATTCACCATCTCTATTTACAACTTAATTTATCACTGTGATTCATCTCATGATTATTGCACATCAGCGATCATTGTTATATATAGCGTTTATATTAATATCTAATCATAAATAAACAATAAATAATAAATAATTATCAGTAATATTAAATAATCAATAATAATAATAAATTGTACAGTCCCCCCAGGGAGATGTACCACCCCCCTATGATGACGTCATCACCGAGGACCTGAAAGAGCTACCCAGCTACGATGACGTCATCGCCGGCAAAGAGGTGAGTCATGAAGTTAGCGTGAAGTGAGTCATGAAGTTAGCGTGAAGTGGGTTATGAAGATAGCGTGAAGTGGGTCATGAAGTTAGCGTGAAGTGAGTCATGAAGATAGCGTGAAGTGGGTCATGAAGGTAGCGTGAAGTTGGTCATGAAGTTAGCGTGAAGTGGGTCATGGAGTTAGCGTGAAGTGGGTCATGAAGTTAGCGTGAAGTGCGTCATGAAGTTAGCGTGAAGTGGGNAACATAGGGACAATAGGGGAATAAAACATAGGGACAATAGGGGATAAAACATAGGGACAATAGGGGAATAAAACATAGAGACAATATGGGAATAAAACATAGGGACAATAGGGGAATTAAACATAGGGAATAATAGAGAATAAAGATATTATATTCATTTTCTAGGGCGTCGTGAACCACGGCTTCCAGCTGGAAGAAGATGACCAATGGAATCCATCCAGCCTATCCGATCCAGAACCCAAACCAGCTGTAAATACAACGCAGATCGCAATGAAAGATCTGGGATCCTCAGTGGATAATGATAACGGAAACCAAAGTGATGTTGTTATAGAAATTAGTGCAATGGCAGCCCCTGAAAGTAATAATCTAGATAGCGGAACCATGACAGAAAAAATGTACGAGGAACTGAGCAGCAAGTCAGATGAAGCTATTCACTTGTCGGAGGCAAGTCAAGTAAATGAATGCTATGAAAACAAGACTGACTATGAGATTAAAGGCGTTAAAATCAGTGAGACAGAAGCTCGTGGAGAACTGGATGAGATATCTATCGTCAATGAGCGAGCAAGACGAAAAAACGATTTTGCCCATCAGGACTATGCAAAGACAAGAGGGCCAGAAAAACAAGAAGTTAGCCTACCTAAAATTCGTAGTAGCGAAGTACATTCCACTTGCATTTCTGAACTCGGGGATCCAAGCACTGGTGCAATTCCTAAAACTCGCTTCAATAAAATCAAGGCAAAAGCAAGAGACAAAAGCAAACGAAGCGAAGATGAAATTACACCCGAAATAAAACCCTCGAAAAATTCAAGAAATAATTCACAACAATGTGAAGGCAGTGAACAATATGATTTCAATGCATCCGAAGCTTCGAAACCGAAAAACGCTCAAGTAAACGAATTTTGTGCACATCATTCAGCTTTTGAGAGCTCAGACGACGACGCAATAGCACCTAACGAGTGGGTGCGCAGAGAGAGAAGTGAACACACGGACACTGTAATGCAGGAGAATTCTAGTAACAGAGTAAAAATGCCACCTGAAGAGACCTTAGGCAGAGAAACTAAGCTACATGAGTAGATAGATTAGAAAATTTTAATTTCATTGCATATACATTACGAAATTCGGGTACAGTTCATGTACAATTCTCACATTATTCAACTGTAAATAACGTTGAACTCATCGTTTTCAGAAGATAATGGGAAAATAATAAACAAATATTAGAAACTTGCATTGTTTTGTTCTCAATTTGAGATGGATGATACATTGTGTACAGAACTAAATGTTAGCAATGTAATGTAAATGCAATAAGGGAAAACAATCGTAGTACTTTATCGGTACATATCAGCAAGACTAGTATCTTATTCACATATTATTTCGGTATATTTAATTAGCATTTTTAGCTATTTGTCATCATATCTATTCTAAATATTCGTTTAAAATTTATAATGATGCATGTAAATTTACTTAAAAAAAATTTTCTGATTTTTCTGAGAAATGTTTCTTGAAAAAATTTTAGTTCCTAAGATGTTGTAAAAATTTGCTTATTTATTATGCTTTTACATCTAAATAAAGTTGACTTAATTAATTCTTAATTATTTTTAACGCAAATACTTTTTATCGCAAGTTAGTGAATTTTTGAAAGATGATCTAATATGACATCACGTTACATGGGTTTAAATTTATAATGAATAAATTTTACAATGTATGCAGATAATGAACTTGTTATATGCACACCATGTGTGTACAGGGTCCGCCATATTTATGGCAACGCATGTCTTTGGTTATTTCTCAATGAAACAAATAGGTGCATTGTTTTTTTTTACTGGATGAGCTTGTAGCCAATAATTACCTTAACAATTCTCAGACATATTTATTCAATATGACCACCCTTATTTTTAATGACGGCCTCCAATCTACGTGGGAAAGCTTCACAGCAGACACGCAGCATTTCTTGAGGGATCAAGTCCCATTCTAGTGTCAATTAAATTTATACACCTTAGACTTCTGCAATATAAAATAGATGAATTAATAGATGATATTAAGCTTCATTATAAAAGAAAAGTCCCCAAGAAACCAATTTATTTTTATATAGCAAACATCCGTTGCCATAAATATGGCGGACCCTGTAAATAGAACTCCGTAATTTCTTAGCCATGCAGACATTACAATAAGCCTCTCATACGTTTTATGTTAACTTATTAAAACGTATGAGGACCTCAGACAAAAACTAAATGGAAAAAGTTCGCATAATTTAATACTGTTATGAATGTCGCATTTCTAACTCTTTTTGTGAACTATGAAATCCAAAGTTATAATATTTAATACATTTTATTTACAACATTATATCCGATTAAATGTCGTATATGTTTAGCTAATCTTGTACAAATCTCCACGACTCACGGACGAATAGACAAGCAGGCGTTCAGTTGTACATTTCCTCTTAATAATTTAAAGGAACGAATTTTCCAGCAGGGAACTGAGGAGAGCATCATATATTGAAAAATATCCTAAATTCAAAAAGGTTGAGAATTGCATTAAAATAATTTTCGGATGCAAAGAAATAAACGTTCTAGTTCAAACTGTACAACATGCGCTGCAACCGTTTCTTTGTCTAATTAATAATTTTCAATCGTCATAACCTAATTGCTCATATGTATTTGAAAATTAACCCCATCACAAATCCATCATTATAAAACAATCCACTGAATCCATTACAAATCCACTGAATTCGCGAGCACACTGGAATAAAATTGGGTTAGATTTCACCTCGCTGCGCAATGGAAATAGGCCTGATATAATATATGCAAATGCAGCGAAATTTCGTGCGCCGTCATTCGCTTCTGTACCGGAGCGTCGAACGGACGTTCGACGCTCCACCTCCAAGAGGGAAGTATTTAGATCACTCGACTGCTTTAATCGATAATTAAAAATTAAGTTTGAACTGATGATGGAGCTGGAAGTTTTCTCTTATGAAGACATGGTGAATTTTTAGCTATTTTCTTTGCTTTCAAATTCCCAGGAGGGAATGGTACGAGTATGTTTGTATATATTCATACATACATGTATGTAATACAGAGCATGACAGTTCATGCCAGTATAAATAAATTATTCAATCTTTCTATTTACGATGTTCAAACTAGAACAAATAGGGTTCTGAAGATCAATTAAATAATTTATATCAGTAGGTATACTATAGTTCAGATCTATTTTCAGCGATAATATTCTATCAATGAATTTTTCTTAACCGACGTTCAGATCGATATATTTAAACAACTGCTCTAGTTATTTCAGCATAAATTTAAAAATGTAAAAATGATAGTTTTCTGCCATGGCTAGAAGGAGCAATATCCTGTATCCACTTATTTAATTATTTTCGATACCTAATTAACCGGGTGGCAATAATTATGATATAAAATAAGTTAAATTACGTCCTGTTAATGCCAATATATGTATGTCAATATATGTCACCAATACATGTCGCCCATACCGATGCCAAATATGTCGCGGTAGCTATTTGTGTTAATGCACTGTATATCACCAACCGTTTGCTTTTGTAATTCCATGTTAAACTTTCAAATCTTCTGGCTTTCACGTTCAATTGTGAAAATGATATCTGCAAATTCATGGACATTGTTTCCTGAAATGTGAATGCATCTCAATGGATTTTTTAGCCTCTTTTTAACATTTACCGCCTCTTCCAACTTTCAGGCAAACATATTATTTGCATACTAAATAGATATAGGTAGACATGTCAAGATAATAAAGTGGCGTTAATTATTCTAGAATGATGGCTAGTTTGTGCAAGCTGCTCATCCTTTCCACCAGATGGCTCTCTATCGTCAGCGACTACACGAGGTGAGTTTCAACTCCTTATTCGCTGCCGCAATCAAATATAGCAGTTTCAGCGTTTAGTAAGCCGTAGGCCTGTCGCTGATTCTGAACATCGCAGAACATTCACAGCATTTCGCGGTCTCGAACTCGCAACTCACTGCTACAATTCTGCTGTGCTTAACCGCCCGGCCTCCTCGCCGATTTTGACCAGAAACTTGCGCACAGAGCTGGAATCGAACCCGCGCCTCTCTGTTCCAATCTTGGTACTCTGAACTAACCACTGGGCCACCCTGCCCAACCACTGGGCCACCCTGCCAACAACATCCCATCAACAGCTAGTAAGGGACGACAGCTAGTGTGGGGAAAATTAGGTGCCGTCGATTGGTAATATTACGGTTTCGCTAAGTTAAATTTCCACGTCGGTTCAATGCAAGATCAACAACGGCGAATTTTAAATTTGTTTTCATTTTCACCAACTATGATTTTATCTGCCAAGCCTTATATGTCAGCAAACGATTAATAATACTAGCAACATTAAAATATAACGAGCCACAAGTGATACTACTCACTATATTGGCCTGCTGAGTGCTGACCAAATAATTTACAGTAGCACTAAATCTTGACGTGTCATTTTACAAGAGTTTTAGTTTCATCCTCCATTTGACTACGTAACGAATGGCATTTTCAACATTTGGACATCTGGGACTTGCCCTGAGATCAATTTACGGATCTGCATTCGGCGATAAAAAATGATCGGGGAAAAATTTGTGAGCCTCCAAAAATCTTCGATTGATTCACCGCTGGGAAAACGTCGACGAAACTGCAGGGAAATATTGCTTGGAAAATTGGAAAGATGCTTGGAAAGATGTCGGCGTCACACCTCCTATAACAGTTATTCATGCAACGCTAATTGAAATGGGATTAGTTAAGTTTGAAACATACTACATCTGCTTTAGCTATTAAAATAATAAACCTTTTACGCATATAACATCATTACATCTTTTACATAGTTGGCTTTTGAACTAATTCCAGACATTTTCTTCTTTAATCTTTTTAATCAAAAATATAATTACTATTTTTCTGTTTATTTTTATGTATTTTTCTTCCAAAAATCAAGTTATTATTGTGAGAGCGACTTTTTTCTTGAGAAATTTAAGAATCCCATCGGAGTTGCTCTTTTTACCAATAAAACTGTATGGCCTTTAAGAATTTCCTGCGCCACATAATGCGATCTGCAGCCCGAACCTAATGAGGCGGCAGAGGAGTTGCCTTGCGTCCCTCAGGGGCGAATGGCTCGATCCAGATTCGCAAATTTTTCGCGCGGTATTTCAATCTGCACGTGCTGCTAGACGATGGATGGTTAATACTGCGCAGCAGACTGTCTCATGTGTGCATGGCATGCAACATAAGAGGGGAAGATATAGTTTAAAATGTTTTGCAGGCGTTTCTTGTGACGTTACTCCTGGAAACTCATGTTGAAACCGAGACGCATCATGCGTCCCAAGTCTTTACAAACTTGTTAGTTTAGAAAGCTCTGTAAAAATCTGCAAAAATATATTAATCAGCTTTCAGATTTTTCATTGACTCATATTGACGTACCTTAAATCTCATGTTTTTCATGGTAATTCATAACTTTGAAGACAGTCTCATTCATCTCCTGCGATCACCTAAGATAAAATGAATTGTCTGGAATCAACCTTGACTAAACAAGTACAAAATGAATCCTATATCTAATACTTTTTAATCATACCAGAATATACTAAAAGGACGTCAATATTTAACTCGTTTAAGCACTCGAGAACTCTTTGACTAGTCATAATTCTAATAAAATAACTTCAATTCAGCCGCGAGGTGATCCAGAGCCTGAGCCCGCACGAGTACAGTTCGCTGGTGCCGCTGCACTACGACAAACACACCCCGCCTGCCACTGATGACTTGCCTGCCATGGTCTACTTCGACATGAAGCTTCTAGACATAACCTCCATCGATGAGAACGACATGGTGGGTGCTATGTTACCATCGACATAACTTCCATCGATGAGAACGACATGGTGGATGTTATGTCACACTCGACATGGTCGGTGTTATGTCACACTCGACATGGTCGGTGTTATGTCACACTCGACATGATGGATGTTATGTCACACTTGACATGGTGGATGTTTTGTCACACTCGATATGGTGGATGCTATGTCACACTCGACATGATGGATGTTATGTCACACTCGACATGGTGGATGTTATGTCACACTCGACATAGTGCGTACTAGGTCATAGTAGTGAATAACTTGATCATTCAGCAATATTCCAATACATGAACAGTCCTATGACTTAAATTAACTAAAATTCGTCAGTTACCTCATCGCAGCTTTCAAAACATGCTTCTGTCAATTTTCGGCAATATTTCGACTTTGAAGAAATACATGTGGAAAACATGTGGAATCAAAACAATGAACTGCAGCAAGACGCTTGAGCAGACGTTCAGCGTGGAGAGTTTCCTGACGTATGACGTGTCATGTGTCGTGCGATGAGCAGACGTTCAGCGTGGAGAGTTTCCTGACGTATGACGTATCACGTGTCGTGTGATGAGCAGACGTTCAGCGTGGAGAGTTTCCTGACGTATCGCTGGAAGGATTGGCGGCTGAAGTGGCCTCTGGAAAATGCAACCACAGCTCCATGCTGGAACCCCACTCCCCGCAACCTCACCAGCCCCCTCAGCTTTAGGGAGGTAGGAGTTAAATTATTACTTGTTATTCATTTCTAGATTACTTCTAAGTACTAACCGACGTAGGTGCTTTATCGAATTAAAATTAATTACATATCCAATCAAACACACAATGTCCAAACTTTATTATACTACCTCTTATTATTAATGTCTACAAATTAGGCTTCATCTTCTACTGACAATGTACTTTTTAATATTTTTTAATTGAATTTTTTATTCCAATGTACTTGGAATTTTTTATTCCAAGCGAGTCATTATAAACGCAGAAAATTCAGTAAATTTCTCATACAAGACCGTAGAAACATTTCGGTCTATTTTGCTTCATAATCCGAAGTGCATTTAAAATCTTTAGCAACTGAGCATCGTATATAAAGCGCAATTGATTTCCACCCTTTGATGTCCGGGTCTCAAGGTATGCAGGGGGAACTACACGCCTGAGATCCGGCACTGTGTGGACCGCCAACCTGTCGTCAGCAAGCGTCTCATCTTAGACGTTAAGGTGACAACTATTATCATTATTATTATTATCATTATTGTTACTATAGTAATAGCAATTGTCGTGTCAGCATTGATTTGGCCATTTGACCAGTCGCAGAATTTTCACAGCTGGTTGCGGTCTCGATCACGCAACTCACTACTGTCATTTTTCTGTGCTTAACCTCAAGGCCTGCTCGCCGATTCCTCAAGTACGTATTCTTCTTATCAAGTACGGTCATGGTTCATTTTTCCCTCAAGATTGTGACGAGTTTTCCAACTTTACTAAGACAACAATGAAAATTATCCGAAATTATTCTCAAAGGTCCCTCATTGTTCAACGATTAGGTTGAAACGAATGATTTATTTTCCGTCACCTCCTGAAAAACCTTCGTATATCGACAGCTAAATTCATTATTTCTCCTCCATACAAAACATCTTCAAAGATAGATATCAACAGCTAAACTCAAAATTTTTCCAACATACAAGACATATTCAAAGATATCTACAGCTAAATTCATTATTTCTCCTCCATACAAAACATCTTCATAGATTCTTGATGAAATATGGCAACCAGACGCGTTCTTCAAGAACGGCATCAGGTCGTCCATCCACAAGGACTGGGTGGAGAACACCTACCTAGCGCTCTACACCAGCGACGGACACGTACGTCTCTTCAGCAGGTCAGCATCGTGCAATTCTTGAAGTGAAAAATTGAAATATGAATGATCAAAATAACTACGATGATTTAAAAATGATTCTGTCATTAGAAGCTGCAACTTTATCTCCAAAAATGAGAAAAACTCTAGGAGCAAGTGGGACTTTCTGACATATTCTCTGGGGTACTCGTGAATAATCTAAGTGTTGATTTCTGTTTATCATTTCTAATATGTTTGTCCTAGTATTTGAAGTTTACTTGGCATCTTTACTTAGATTTGCTCCTACTCTTGCATCGGCCTTCTTATTTCATTTCTCATGAATAGGTTGACTATAATAATGATGAGGCATCTCTACTGCTCAGGATGAGTGTCACTCTGAGCTGCCACTTTGACTTCCATCACTACCCTCATGACGAGCAGCACTGCGAAATGGTCATCCAGAGCCGTGAGTGATACCCTCGAGTAAAGACTTAGGCCTTCAGTCAGTTGGTGATATTTTAGAGCAGTGAATATAATACCCTCGAACAGGGGATTACACCTTCGAGCAGTTATTGATGCTTTGCAATAGAAGGTAATACCCTCCAGCAGAAGGTTAGTCCATCGAGCAATTATATAATGTTACTTAAGAGCACTGAGTGATAATCTCGTGCAAAGAATTACCCAATAACGTATCGCTCTCCACGCTCTTGTTTGACAAGCTCACATTTTGCTTGCCCTTTCCATGTGTCGCAGTGTCGTACCGTATGGACTTAGTGCGCTTCGAGTGGTGCCGGGACTGGGCCCTGACTACCGACTCACACCTGCAACGCGATGCCATCTTCTCGCTGCCGCACTTCACCCTCGCAAAATACGAGCACACAGCCTGCAACGGTCGGTGCCAGTGGCTTTTCATGTTTTCAAACGCTAGATCAATTGCAAAGTGTGCGTGCAATCGTGCTATGATGTAAAATGCGGCCTGCAACTGTTGCTGACAGGGTTTATCAAACGCTAGATCAATTGCGAAGTGTACCTACAATCGTGCTATGGTAAGCGGTGTGGCTGCAATCATGTTATGATTGAAGCACGGCCTGTAACGGTCGGCGCCAGGACGCTTGTGAAAAGCTAAATCAATTACGCAGTGTGCCTACAATCATGCTATGGATTTAACACACGGCCGGCAACGGTCATTTGCATCCGCAAAAATGTCTACCATGAAACTATAGCAATTATTTTTGCTCGCTTACGGCAACTTCTTTTGTTAAACGTCATCAGGTTCGACCAACTTCACGTGCGTGAAAGCGTTCTTCCTTCTAGCTCGTCACCCCGACTTCCACATCCTACATACCTACATCCCTACGGTGCTCATCGTCATCCTATCCTGGATGTCATTTTGGATCAAACCTGACGCAACCCCAGGTATCAAAATGCCCCATATATCTACCATACAGATCAAAATTTTTAAAGAAAACAGTCAGACAATATCTGATCCGACTAATAGAATCATAATATGATCTGAAACTCCCCCATATTTTTGTGCCGGGAAAAATTACAAATATTTAATCAAATACGTTTCACCTCTCTCAAACGAATGCCATGAATGACGTCTCGCAACTATGTCAATAATTATACCCAGATAATCATACAATATTGCAGAAGTTTAACTACGATTCCTTTTAATTTGACCATTTTAAAACAAAGAACTTAAAATCAGGCTTAGAATAATAGCTAATTCTTTTTTATTTATTAAATTATATTTTAATATTTATTACATTATATTTTTTAATCGTCATATTTAATAACTTCTTCTAAATCTTATATGTCAATTATTTACGCTGCACAGCAAGAGTCACCCTCGGTGTCACCTCCATCCTGACGATGGCCACGCAGTACTCGCAGTCTACGTCCAACCTCCCGCCAGGTCCACATTATTACGCTTGAGTATAAACTATTTTTTTAATAATTCGATTTGTTTGCATTTTTCTAGTACTGGAATTATAATTGGTATTAATTAAATCATTTGTGTTCACCATTTTAGACAGATTAGCTCAATTTCGTGTGAATTGTTATAGATTTGTAATTCTTCCTTTTTAGCGCATTTTCTCATTTATGGAAAAAATGCACACTTTTGTACTCGCCATGTCCGTCCGTCTGTCCGTCTGTCTGTCCGTCCGTTTGTCTGTCCGTGACTTCACGTTTTCGTCGACGAGAAAATGTGCTCTCTGTCACTCACTGCAGTGAGTACTGAGTTATATATTTTTTAACTTAATAATTAAGATCTTGTTATTAAAACACTTCTCTTTAACTTCACTTCTTGTCTGTTTGTTTGTCTGTCTGTCTGCTACAAACCTTGTAATCGAAATTTAATACGCTTCTACCTATCCTATCGATCTGAAATTTTGCACACTTGTTTAAATTTGGAGACAATGCAAGAATCAAATATCAAAATAAATGATTTTAAAAATTAAAAAAAAATTTTTTCAACATTAAAAAAATTGAAAAAATAATTTTGTCAGCTACAAATCTTATAACTGATATTTGATACACTTTTACCTGTCTAATTGATCTGAAATTTTGCACACTTGTGTGAAGTCAGAGGCAATGCTTGAATCAATTAACAGAATAAATAATTTTGAAAACAAATTATATATTAAAAAAAATTATATATAAAAAACTGAAAAATTAATTTTTTTAATATTCGAAAATTAGATGAGAAATTCATTGTTTTATCTGTAAGATTGGAGACACTAGATTCTATGGAAATGTTGACTTTAAAAAGTAATTTTTAAACGTATATTATTATGAATAGTTTCGTACATCAAAATCATGGACGTTTGGATGATCACGTGCATGGTGTACGTGTTCATGGCCCTCCTAGAGTTCGCCCTCGTGTATCACGTGAACATCACCTACCCTCAACTCGAGGTTCTTCCCCTCACTATCAACAGCGACAACAGCAACAGCGTGACTCAGGTAGCTTAATGTTAGCTGCTCTCAAAGCTGCAGAATCTTAATATTATATTGAAATTGTTTTACGTTATTATGTCTATTCAAAATAGTTTTTTTGAAATGAAATATTGAATCAGTATCTAAATGTAAATATATCTTGTTCTCTTACTTCTGTTTCACTCATGCAGGGAACTAAATTCATCTTAGATCTAAAAAAAATTTGAATAAGTACTTGCATAATTCCATTGTTCTAAGTTTGACTGCAACTTTACAGTGCATCATCATCCGCTCGGCCCGAGAGGGCACCATGGGTCGCTCGGCCTGGTATGGTCCAGAAGCTCGTCTCATTTCCTTCTTCAAGAAATGGCGTCATTTCTGGTCCACTGCCGAGGAAATTGATCGAGCATCGCGGTATTTCTTCCCCATCACTTACGGTATCTTTATCTTGGGTTACTTCTCACTCCTCATGAGGAAACTTAAACAGGAGGCTGTGTCCACTGATATTCCCCATTAAGTTTGGTTAACAATCCCACAAGATTGCATTAGCAAGAACTCAGATAAAGAAAACTTATGCACAAATATCAACGAGCCGAATTAATTTTCACCGACGCACATGAATTAGTAATGAATAAATTATAAAATTAGGTATTAATAAAATTACCAAATGAAGAAAGCGAGGCTAATAATTTATGTGTAACAACAAAGGTAAATAAATTTCTGCCTCATGCATGCCTACACAAACGCACACCGCAACACTGCGACTGCTGTACCAACAGTCTCGGCTGGTTGGTCCGTAGCAGTCCCAGGCTACGCTGCATGGAGCGTGGTCTTTTAATTGCGAAAATTGTGAAAAAGTCCGAATTGATTGTGAAAAGTCTGAATTTTTTAATTGTGAAAATTTTCTTTGTATATCCATGAAATATTTATGCGTTTTAATGAAGCCTCCAGTTATGCACATTTATTTATATTACGAGTGTTGGTAAGATGGAGGAAGGAGTATTCTTTATGCATTTACGGTGGAAGACTTGAACATGATTGTCTTCTTCAATAATGTCTGCTATTCTGCTCCACGCTCCGTGCTACTTAATTGCGTTATTAAGACGAACAAGATAATTTCTTATACTATAAGGACTAATATTCTAGATATAAGTAATAATTCAATAGCACTTATTTCTTAGATGGTTATTAGAGATTTTAACAAGAAATGTTAAATTTTTCAAGTCTATATTTTGAATGAAAATTCAAGTCTATATATTGAATGAATCGTCGATTGTTCTATAACAGTTATGGTAATAAATATTTAAATCTAGATTTGCTGTTTTCCAATAATCCTAGCGTTATATGCATTTCGTCGAGAATATTAAAGCATCTACAAAAATAAACACCGGAGTTTTCATGTCCTATTATGCAGATCTTGATTTTTTACGATTCTACGTTAAAATAATTATGAACTGAAACGGTGGACAGTTTGGCATGCCAAAAGACGAACTGACATGCGAGTGAATTAATAATATCAAAGAATTAAATATATCATAAAGATTCATATTCATGAAATAAGCATTTACGTGAGCTGAGAAACACGAAATGCCGCTACGTGAGCCGAGAAACAGTTCATGCCACTACAGATTTTAAGTTAAGATGAAGAGAAAAGAATCAGCTACGATCGACTGGGTTCAGTCACCCCTTGAAGGATTACACGCGCGAAAGCCCCGCAAGTGCGGACAAAGTCGCTGGGGCGTCGCAGTCGCCAGGCTTCCGAGACGAGGTCGCTCAGTCGCCCAGCAGCAGCGAGGGTGGCAGCACGTCCAGTCGTCACCGGGCCAGTGTGACTAAGTCATTCCAGTCAGACAGTCATCCTTGAGGTCGGCTTTCAACGTCATCAAAAGTAGTAAGGTGAAATAAAAACTGAGCTATTGTTAAAATATTAATTGTGTCGTACAAAAAGGAAGTTCTGATTATTGTGGATATATTATAATCATTTTTCAATATTAATTATTATAATTTATTCGAGTTATTTGTCAACAACTTTTATTATAACGAAAACTTTATTTTTATTCAGAAACTATCATCATATTTTTACAAGTAGTAAGTTACTTTTTACGATGCTAATTCTGCCTCATTCAAGCTCTTAACATTAATTAATTAAGAAATCAACATTTCTTCTTCCATTTCAGGAAGCCCTCCGAATCTCACTCAACATGCTCACTACAACCAAATCATTGTGAAATATACTGCAAAAATATTTTCAAGTTACTTTACAAGCAACGACTTCTTATATTTTAAATCATATTTTTACCTGAACTGGTTTTTTAATCGTTGCGTAATATTCATATTAGCATAAAACATTTAAAGATTGATAGAAACACTCTGAGTCTTAATCATATTACTAGCTTCTACAACATCACACGGAGCGCTTTCTCAAGACTATATAACTCAGGCTTGCTCAGCCTACACCATATACTAAAGATAAACGCACTTAATAACTTAAAGGCGTGGAAAAAAACCTGACCATTTTACTTTCAATACTAAAATTTCAACACTAAATCAAAGTATAGCTGCTGAAAGGAAAAATATCAACGAAAACAGTTAAAAAAATAATAAAATAAATAAATTAAAAATAAGAGATAAATAAAAAGTTCGAATACACTCGACTTACTCGTTCAGCGAAGAACCGCATCCAAAATGAAGATCAACTTGTACCCGTTCTTGAAGTACATGGAAGGCGTGAGCGTCCTGAGGATGTTCTTCATGGCCATAATATTCCCAACAGGAATGGTATTCTTCACCATCATCACCAACCAGCACAGAGTACGATGGTTTAATTAACTAAATATATACGTTAATATAGATTATCATGAAACTTAACATTTGATCTGTCCTATTCTAAATTGAAGAGTTTGAGTTCGTAGATAGTAAAATCATACCGATTAGGATAATAATTTGTACGACTAGTTTACCAGAATCTATACCGTGAATCCATGGCAATAAATTTTTTTAATAGAATATCAAATATAACAACACATAAATATATGATGCTCCAGTTACATTTTCTCTCGGGCAATTTCGCTTAGCGTACTATTTCGCAGAATTACAAATGTTCATATCGTACAGGGCACAGAGTACCGAGTAACTCATGAAGTTTACTTCGACATCGAAATTGGGGGAGAAGCAAAAGGCCAGATCGTGATCGGACTCTTCGGGGAGACGGTGCCAGAAACTGTACAGAATTTTTACACTCTCGCCACTTCCGGAGTGAACGGTTACTCTTACACCGGCACCACTTTCCACCGTGTTATTAAGAAATTCATGATTCAAGGTGAGGCTTAAAACAAATTATATCTCAGTTGAAGGATTCTGATTCGTGGGGCCTTCCAGTGCTTGCTTCTCTTTGCCTATTTGAGCTTTTTAGCGCATTTTCTCATTTATGGAAAAAATGCACTATTGTGCTCGCCATGTCCGTCCGTCCGTCTGTATGTCCGTGACTTCACGATTTCGTCGACGAGAAAATGCGCTCTCTGGCACTTACTGCAGTGAGAACTGAGTTATATTTTTTAAACTTTGTATTAAATGTTCAACTAAAATGCACATGGAAATCAGTGCCAGACCTCGCAAAGGAAGAGGTTAGTTTTTCAAATGTAATTGTTGTGTTTAGCAATCAGATTGTTTACATTTAATATTAATAAAGCAATACATTAGGCGGGGATGTGTTGCAAGCGGGAGGAATGGGTCGACTGAGCATCTATGGGGAGACGTTCCCGGACGAAAACTTTGATGTGAAGCACGCGACTCTCGGCTTCGTAGCCATGGCGAACTCAGGTGAGAGTTTCAGCATGAATAAGACAGGCCACATCAGGCCTACACTTCAGCGCCGACATCACTATGTTAACATAAGTCAAATTTTTAACACGTAACAATTGAATATGTATGCTTATACACCGCTTCGCTATTTCCCTCACATTATTGTCACTTGAATGTGTTGCACATAAGGCATTTTATTAATTATTAACTAGTTGATGTGTCACGTTCTGTTGCTATTTCCTAGACAAGCATCAATACGTGACATAATCGCCCTGAAGCCCTTGTATTACATAATTTTCTACAATGTTCTTATATTCCTTAATATGAATATTTTTATCCTATTCTTAATTCTATTTCATCAATTCCCTTGTAATCTTTAATAGATCTCCATATAGCGATCGTAGTCATCAGGATACGTGGTGTTCATTGTGTGTGAGCTTCTAAATCATCATTCACAAAATGCTGTTGTTAACTATGCTGTTGTTTACTATGCTGTTGTTTACAGGCCCTAATACTAATGGCTGTCAGTTCTACATCACCACGGCTCCGACACCCTGGCTGGACGGGAAACATGTCGTCTTTGGAAAGGTCAGACATTGAGTTAATACTAAATTAAAATTCGAACATTGTGACGCCTGTACCAGTCAAAGTACAGTAATGAGTGAAATGCACGTACTACTACTAAAGCTTAGACGGCGGATATTCTTTGGAAAGCTGATGAAATAGAGATTTAATGTCACTCAAATGAAGATGGTTCACACATTCCTCGCTCCATGTCGTCGCAAAATATTAAAAAAAAATCGGACATTTAAGTAAAATAAAGTTCCCAAGTCTGGAATGTAATACTGCCTTGCATTTACATATCTCCAATTTAAATCTTCGTTATAAGGAACAAACAAAAGTTGAAACTTAGAGCATACATTTTCATAAAACCAATATTTTAAAATCATTGACTAAACTTGAGTGGACAGGTGATCGAGGGCCAGGGCAACGTTCATCTGATCGAGCACTTGCCGACCGACGAGAACAACAAGCCACTCACCGAGGTACGCATCGCCAAGTCTGGCTCCCGCCGCGTCAGGAACACCTACACCATCTCCGACGATCCCTACAAGTGTGTTGGTAGTAAATTAATTACTAGAACTTTTGTTTAGACAGGAACTGCTTTTCAATACATCAGTAAGTTGATATAATTTAGACCTACCTAAACGTTGAAATATTTTAGACATCTCCGACGATCCCTACAAGTGTGTAGGTAGCAAATTTATTACTAGAAGTTATATTTAGACCAGAATTTCTTTATAATGTTCAACAAGTTGAAATATTCTAGACTTATACGTTGAAATATTTTAGACTTACATATTCGACGATCCTACATGTATATTGATAGTTAACTTCTTAGCGGTGTTTTAATTCAGGCCAGAACGACATTGTGAAGCATCAACAAGTTGAAATGTTTTAGACGGACACCTGCTCCGTCGACCCTTGCTTGTGTGTTGCTCGTCAACTTCTTACCTGAGTTTTTATTCAGAAAAATGTTATTCTAAAACTAAGTACAGGAGCTTTCCTTCAGCAGTGAGTTGCATTTTAACTCAATTTATTGCTTTGTATCAGTTCCAAACCATACACCGTCTTGATCACCGGTTCACTAATGTCACCAGTCTATTAGACTTAAAATAGAAGCTGTGATTGTGTCAAACAACAATATCAATGTAAACAGAATCAGCCAATTCAAAATTAATCCAGACCGACGATTGGCACGGTCGTCATCACGCTAACAACTTGTTAGAGTCATTTCTATTATTTTACAGCCTGTAATATTAGCAAGCTGCTTGCGAGAAAATTACTGCACTTTAGTTTTGAATACTAATCAGGTTTTAAAGGTTCAAATTTCGAAAGCTGTAGATTTTTTTATAGGACTTTCAAATTTCACGCAGTAGAGAAAAAGTATTTTTACAATTTAGAAAATAGTTCCCATTCATTGGATTCAGTTTTCAATAGACAAGAACGGATCAATTTTCTTACATTATAATTTGTATTCTCAGCATGTGGGACTGGCTGAAGACGATCAGCTTCCCTCTGTCGCTCTCCTTCTCAATCATTTTCGTCTTCAACTACTTCATCCGCCAACTAGACAAAGGCATTGAAACTGAAGAAGCTTTGTCGCTTCTTAAACGCAAGCTCACTAAAGGGAAAGGCCCCCAGAAACCCAGCGACGATGAAGAAATTCAACGACTTCTCGGTGACGATGCAGGCGCCCATGTCCGTAAACGTAACGTTGACAAGAAGGGAGACACTGAAGAAGCAACTGAGTTCGAGACTGACGAAGAATTACTGCAAGATGAGCTTGAGAAGAAAGTTAACGAGTACAAAAAGAAGAAAGCTTCGTTAGGAGGTAATGAAAGGGGCGTCATACCTGAAGAAACATTAGAGAGCATCTGTAAGGCTAAAACGAAAGCTCAGTAGTTCCTAGGATGTTTTTGGACGCTCGTTCCATTATTCGAACGAGACAATAAACTTGTTCAGATCCCAAACAAACTCTAGGATGCTTCAAATCATGCAACATTTATTTGATTTATCAATTTATTTGCATATCAACCAGCTTGAATGTAATGTTTTCAAAATTAGTAAAGTAAATATGAAGGATTGTCCCTCACAACCATACCATCAAACATCTTTCATCTCGCCATCGCAGTTGTAGCGCGCGTTGATGCAGCGATATTTGGCGCACTTGAACTGGTCTTCGCTTGACTGAGTTAGGGCTAGCACGGCATCATAAACTCGTCGTTCATAAGTTCTGACAATGCGCTTAGCTTTATATTGGTTATTTAGTTGGAGATTCGGGAGATTTTATGATTGAAAATTTCCCGAAAAAAGCGATTGGGTTGGGATGCGTGCTTCTTCGTGAAACATGAAATCCTTTCAGTTTAAATTCAAAATCCAATTGCCATGTTACTAATCATTAGCATTCTTGGTACTAGGTAATCATAATGAATTGAAAATTCATGACAAGCAGGCAAGCCGTTCACCACGAATATTAATCGGTAGATCATTGCCAAGTAAACAATAATTATCATGTTGGATCTTCTTTGTAGGTACTTTTTTACTATAGGTACACAAATCGAGGCTGATGAAAGAGCGATACAATATGTAAAACAGACTTAACCAGGTCAGAATAAAGGTAGGTACATATTTCTGCTATATGTATTGCATCACAATTCATCACGAGGCTAACCTCGACTTATAAATGACAAATTTTCCTGAAAAAATAATATCTACTTACAATATTCCTGCAGGTAGCTTAATACAGAAATTAACGGTTTTAGCAAATTACGATATCACAAAATACCGAAAAATTGAAGTCGGAAAAAAACGGGCGGGAAAACGGGAGACGAATCATTTTAATACTGCAAAAGAATAAATGACTATAGGTACTTTATGTCAACTACTATGTTCCACAATAAATCGGAACTAATGTCTTCGAGCTGAAAACATATTGATTGGCGGATATGAACAAAATATTCAGAAAAATATATATCACGTACAATCTAAGGAAAGCACGTATTGCGTTCCTCTCACTTGTGTACATACATAAACCACGAAAAAATTTGAAATGCCTGTTTAAGAATAAAAGAAAAGAACAAACTTTTACTACGAATAAATTAACATGAAATAAAATTAAAAGAAACACCGAGATCTTAACAATCAGCATAGCGAACATGAAGCAGAACAAGTCAAGCTAATACGTTCACGTCACCATATATTCCTTGGTCCACATTCATGAGGTAACATCTCAAGTAATACCGCCAGCATCAAAATATGAACAATCCGTAAACTGGATGAAAATAATTACACTGGTTGAAATTCAAACCAGCCAATTAGTCAACCGGCCTAAACCAATACACCAAATCAGTTAACCCTACGCTGGTCGCGTGCAGAAACTGACCAGATTGGTCACCACTTCGGTTGGTTTCGTTGTGGTCGAATTCCGTAGGCGAGGATTTAATATTTAATCCACGTGATCACTGTAGGGTTAAATGCCTTAATTAATATCAGTCCAATAAAACAAGTAAACCGCATTTGAATCAATTCAGCCAGTCCGTAAACGGAGTAACGACCGTCAAATAATTCATGATACTAGGCCTCGTTGACAAACGAGTGTTATTGAGCGCAGCGTTGCGAGCGAAAGAGCAGACGCGGATTTATATCAAGAATAATTTGTTGTTCACATAGCTTCAAGCAATCAAAACATCTTACCTTATATATTGATATTTAAGTGACCTATAGTGGGCGGAAAATTATAGTTGTACAAGAGAAAAGGGAGCATTCTAGCACATATTAATCTATGCTGGATTTGTTAAATTAACTTGTTATTGCTGAGAACCGATTTATCACTAGGAGATAAGACCGGCAGAAACGGACGATTTCTTTGCTTACTCGCCGCGCAAGTCTCGAACTGAGAGTGTCCCACGGCTCTTGGTTTAGTCCATCTTCACTTCGCTGACGCTGCCATCCTCCATGCCGAAGTAAGCCACTCGAGCCATGTTCACAAATAAGCCAGTCTCCACGACGCCTGCACAGTAGAGAAATGTGAGTGCAAAATAAACAGGATATGTTTACAGGAGTAATTGACTAATATTTACCAAAAATGCAAGAATATATAAACAACAGGACACATGAGTGACCAAATCAAATCTTATTCGAAATTATTAAATACATAAGCAATAGATGAATTTTGGAAGCAAGAAGTTCCAATGAGGTTTCTTAAACTTTTCAACGCTCATTGCAAATTCTGATAGGTGGTAGAAATGCAACTCACGTACTCAGATGCAAAATGTGAACTATAAACAGATGAAAACTCAATAATTGGCTAAGCGTACTTAACAAATTATGTGTACAATAGTCCAATGAGCGTCAAAATAATGCAAAAAACAACGCACCTGGGATCATTTTAATTGTAGAGTTAACAGCTTTCCAGTCGTGGCGTCCCTCGAAAATCCAGTCTAGCAGCAAATTGCCATTATCAGTCACTACAGGTCCCTGATGGTGCAAAGTAATTCCAAAATCAATCTGTGACATCAATTTTAAATTTAAACGTAAGTGCAATATTTTTGTGAAATAATAAAAAAACAGTCTGTAAAATCAACATGTCTTAACAGATAATACTAATTTTACACCTCACGCAAACACAAGTGAACTAATTCAAAAAATTTTCTTGATAGCATATAAAATTGCCACAGCAGCAGCAAAAGCCCTCCTTCAATCTCTACATTATTTCAACGTTTGGTCAATAGATAAAAGATGAATTAAAGTGTGAAAGACTCACAGCTTTAGCCTTAGCCTGCCTCAGTACGGCTTTGCCTCCCAGCAGTCGCTCAATGGCGCTGGCCACAGGACGGTAAGCCATGCCAACAACTTCCACTGGCACACCTTTGCTCCACTGCTCCCCAAGGTGTGTAGATTTTTTCCTGGAAATGGAAATTCATCAGAAATACACTAATTTATTCTCAGACCTAAAAGGTGGTGGAATTGGGTTTCATTCATAAGAATATCCTTAAATTAAAAAATCACAAAAGGCATTAATAAAATTAGAGGAATGAGAATTTTTTTGTTTTTTTTTAATTATATGGTACAAAATTGAATCATCAGATTTGCAAGAATGAATTAATAATTTGAACAAACATATCCATGAAAATCAGAATTATTTTATGTGACTGAGCAGACCAGCATATGAAGGCCATGCTACATATCATAAATACCAAAATTAGCCTACAGAAATAAGGCAAGAATGTAATGTTTTTTATGGTTTAAATAGCACCAAAATATTACAAAAAACAATGCTAACTCGGCATTGAAAGATTTCATTTTGAAATTTTTTCATCATTTTCAGTCACCTCAGCTTCTCTGCTCAGTTTAAAATCCACAACTTGAGTAGAAAATAATAACTATACATAGTTTTTATACACAAGCTGTAAGGATTTTGAGCTTGCTTAATATAATACACGTTTTTATGTAAGCGACCATTAGCTAATAGTTGCAACTGATGATTTTTGTACGCCTCCAAAGCCTTCATCAATTTATTTAATCCCCTCAGTAGAATTCTTATTATAAACATTATCTAAAAATCTTGAATATTTTCAAATGGGTTATAAGTTTGGTTTACAAACTGTACTTTTAATTCGCTATTTCTTGCAGGAATTATATAGTACCTGTAGTCAGCAATGACAACAAACTGATCCGAGACCGACGCAACAACTTTCTCTTGCAAGAGGCAGCCTCCACCTCCTTTGATGAGGCATAGGGATGAGTCAGCCTCATCAGCACCGTCTATACATACATCCAACTGATAAAAGGATATAAGCACATTTTAGTACTACCTACCAAATTTTCAGGAAAACTGAATTTAAATAGTGTAATGTATCCTTAATCTGATGACATATAACATATGAATTGACATAAAAATTAGTTTAGTCACAAGTATTTCAACTGAGATATTTATCTAGAGGTGAATATCTCTTGTTTGGCATTATATTGGAAGCATAATGAAACTTTATTATTCAGTTAATGCAAACAAATCTTAGAATTAAAAAACTAATAAATGGATTCAATATTCTAAAAAAATTCTGGTAGAGTAGCTCCGTTTGACGGGGCTACTCGGGACACTCTTTTTTTGCTTCTGGCACCTTACGAATAGCATATGGAATTTTTTGAAGATGCCATTCGATAGCCCTCGCAAAGAGCTATAAAATGAGCCTAAACTTGTTTATGAAATGTTTCATGGTAAGAATTTATTAACAAAAAACACTCAAAACCGTCCCAAGTAGCCCCGGTTGACGGTAACAGTCATTGATCACAAGGCCAACGGTATATGTTTTGACCTTTGTAGTTGATTCATCAATTCAACAATACAATATCATTCAGGAAAATAATCAATAAGATGTCTTTTGTTTTTTGTCCTCAGGAAATATATAAATAACAAAATGGCTGTTATTTATTGATTTTATTGAAAAACACAAGAGTGACAGCAGTGAACAAGGAAAACAATGAAAATTTCAAGGAAAATACCTGAGGAGTGATTTCCAGGTCTGTAAGTGGAAGATTATTCTCAATTATGAGCTGGCGGGCTTGAAAAGATGTAGGCACGCAGACCACCTTCAGTCCTTCACTCTTAACTCGTTCAGCTGGTAGAGTGGATGAAGGGTTAATACATGTAATTGAAAACAAATTGAATAGATATGGAACAACACAAAAATTATGCTTATAGTGTACCGTAAAATGGGGTAACTTTGACCGCTTTTTTATTTCGAAACAATGCCATTTTTTTACTAGATAAGTTAAACTTAAATTGAAACATGCAAAATACAGGTCTATACTCTAGCTTTACTCACCATAAATTGCTGGCTCCTGCCTCTCATAGTTTTGATGTAATTTAAAAAAAATGATGGTCTTTGTTACCCCAGCTCTTGGGGTTTCTTTGACCGGGTGGTAAAATCAATTTTATTTTTTAGTAAAATAACTCCAAATAACTCCAGGTTGTGGTGCATTGTAGTAGAACTCTTCTAGTTACATATACAAAAGACAGATTTTAGGAAAGTGTCAGTTTGCAAATGGGGGGTGCCACCCCCAAATGGGCAAAATGTGACCACCTAATAGCAGCCGTGATGGGGTAACATAGACGGGTTTGGAAATAAAGTTAAAATTACCATATATAAGACTCTGTAGAGTCTGAAACATAAAGAAAAAAACATTAATAGGTATATCAAACATAAAATATGTTATATAGGTACCTATGGTAATTTTAACTTAATTTCCAAGCCGGTCAATGTTACTCCATCACGGCTGCCATTAGGTGGTCAAAGTTAACCCATTGGGGGGCAGCGCCTCCCATTTGCAAACTATGACACTTTTCTAAAATTTGTCTTTTGCATATGTAACTAGAAGAGTTCTACTACAATGCATCAAAACCTGGAGTTATTTTACCAAAAAAATAAAAAAATTGCAGGGGGTACTCCAACAGGCTTTAAATAATAGCTCTTTTTTGTGGGTCACATTTTTAATTTTTTAACCTATTAGATATGCAAACTTTTTAAATCTTTCTATTGTGTTACATAGCCTCAGTATTAGGCCTTTGATGGCCATTGACAAAATTTTTCTATGTCGAATCGTTTTTGAGTTTTGGGGGTTTTTGTTAAAAAAACGAAAAGTGGTCAAAGTTATCCCGCCGGTCAAATTAACCCCATTTTACGGTACAAAGAAGTGTAAACTACATACATAATATTCAATTCCATTGTTTCATAGAAGTGTATCATTTCCACTTCACACACATCAATATGCACATAAAATGTTGAGCAAAACAAAAATAATTCCAAGATCAATTAGCAAAACAATCAAGACCAATTTATGTTTGCCAAATACCAGTGGCTGGCACATATGAAAATATGAAATGCATTTATTGAGAAAAAAATTATGACAATACATGGTTATACGAGATAAAAACTCTTTTATTTGCACAGAAACTGAATTAACCCTATTCAATTCAGATGAGAACTGGAACTAATCTTACCAAGTCTCTGCACAGCATACACAACAGTGGACCCACTGCCAATCCCAATCCTGAAGTTGTCCTGAAAAAAAAATTAAACAACTAGTGTAGTGTTCATTCATTGGATATTTCTTACATACCTAATTTACTAATCTCCAGAAACCCAGCTGTTAAAAATGTACAAAATATTTTTAGCATTTTGATATTGTTAGAGATTCTAAAATGTATAGGTATGTATAGTCTCTCAAATGTCAAACTGTCTTGATAGTTAAAAAGTGTTAATTGATTACACATGTTTTTTAAAATTGTGGTTGGATAAATAAATAGTTATTTACAATTTCTGTATCTAGGTAAGATACAGAAGTCATGAGATAGAGCTCATCATGAATTAATATACTAGATAAATAATTTGTCTTAAATGGCTTGAGCATTATAACTGATTGACCTAATTTTATCCCTGTAAGGTTGCAATAACTCAAAAACTTAGAATGAAGATTCACTATCATATCTAAATATATAATTTACATTATTTAATCAAAGTTCCAAAATGTGCTGACAAGTGACAACAAAATGAAAAGCAGACTTGGCATGATTTGAAATTAATTATTTGCTAATTGAATATAGATTTGTTAACAAATTTTGACTCTAGTAGCAGTGTTAAACCTTGCCAAGGAAAATCATCATACCTTGCACAAACATTTGATGAATTGAGTTAAAAAATTTAAGTTATAAAAAATTATTTGAAATAATATTCATTGTTGAGAGAAATCCAGCACAAAAAATTCAACTAATATCCCCTGGTGGTTAGTTTTTATTCCCTTAATTTTTCTAAGAAACAATTAAAGTTCCATAAAATTTTATGCAACGGCTTAGAGAATAAATATGAATTTATACCTCCTAATAATTATAATGGTGTTTAGAGCTATGGTATAATCCTATATTGATGCCAATATAAGGTCAAGAACTCAAGATGGCAGATAATGAACTTGCAAAATGGACTTACTTATGATTTATGAATTAAATCTCTTAACTCCAATTGAAAATGACAAATTTCTTAATATCTTTGGTTCATTGCAGAATTAAAAAAAATATAACTCAGTACTCACCGCAATGACTGAATGAGTGAAAGAGAGCGCATTTTCTCATCGACGAAAACTTGAGGTCACGGACAGAAGGACGGACAGACAGACAGACAGACGGACGGATGGACATGGTGAGCACAATAGTGCATTTTTTCCATAAATGAGAAAATGCACTAAAAAGAGAAGAATTCATTTCCAAGAAGAAAATTTTTGCATGTGTATCCTTTGAAGCCTCAAAGGCCAATAATTTTCAAAATCACTTATAAAACAAACATTCTTCAATACCATTAGGCATTCCCCTGCCAATATTCAAATCAATATTAGCAGAAGAGAAGTTTCCTAAATTTGTAGGTAAACCAATCATTTCCTGTATGAGTGTATGATTCTCAATTTCTCCAAGATTGCCACTGTGCAGAGAGTGAACGAAGATTTAAAGACCTACGGCGACGCATTATCGGCAAAATTTTCGCCTTCAGAAGATCTTGCCAACACATTTAGATTGAAATTCTTGCATTTAATATATTTCTCAGTCTTCAGCCAACTATTTAGAAAAAAAGTAAGGTTTCCGGTACGTTGGATGGATTACGATGCAGCGAAGCTTGTCCGGAAATCAGTTGCGATGAGTTCCCATAAAAAATGTAAAAAACATTTTTTCGATTGCGTAGTTTCGGTCGCATTAGAGCGGTCAGACTGCTTTATTACTTGTTCAGTTGACACTTGCTGTACAACCAGACTGTTTTTAGGGTAAAATTAGTTATTTGGGGTAACACGTGCATGCAACCTTGTAATAAGTTTGTGGCTTGAAAATAGTTCGTCATTACTCAGCGTAAATGGCTTTTCATTAAAAATTACCCGGCGACGCATCTTTAAAATGGCCGGCGACGCTTTGGGCTTAAAAATCCATATATTGCCGACGCTGCATCCACCCTCTGCATAGTGGCAAGATTGCAGGTAACATGGAGAGTTTTTTACTCTCCCTCAAGTTCATTTATGAGTCCTATAAGTAGAACAGTAAAGTATCATGGATACCAGTACCACCATGCATAAGAAATTGATTTAAATCTTGAGTAACTGAGGAAATTAAAAATGAACAGATTCTTAAAATTCTCTGGTTTGTCACTATGGCAGATAAAAATAGGTAATTTTTTTTATTTTTCACTAAATAAATTATGAAAATGTTATGGGTATTAAGAAGAAATTAAATAGACATGATTAGGAAGAAGTTAAATAGACAAATTATGACTCATGGCCTAATTTGAAAATGGAGCAGAAAGCCAGCTGCCAGAAACTACCGATAAATGCAAATACGACAAATATGCCTGTGAATCTGGGCTCTGGCTAATTCCACCAGTTCTAATTCAACAATTTTGCCTTTCTCCAATTTATTCAGCAAAAGAAATAAGAAAAAATTGGTCCATAAATTCCTGCAATTTTTGTATTGTATTCCTATTCAAAATTAGATTTACTGCCTATGGTCTATGGATGCTGGGACTGTAGTTTTTGTTTAATTCCTGTGTGGCTCAAGCCCAATTTTTTTTATTAATTTTCTAGGTGGGGGTCTCAAATTGAAGGCTAAATATTTAGTTCTGAGACCAAAGTTTTTCATCACTTAATATTTCTTGAATTTCTATAATTATGAATGAACAATATTTAGTTGATGAGAACGGTAGTTCGGTAGAGAACCTAGTTTATTGTTCAAAAATGACATGCTTAAGCCCTTACATTAGCCTGCCTACCACTGGCACGAGTGGTAACATAGCTACCACAGTACCGTGTAGGTAGCCTACTTAAATTACTGTCATACTCACATAAGTCACTCATACCTTAATATGAAGGTCCACAGCCATTGAGGCAGCTTTATTTTTTGCACTCTCAACGGCATCCATGGTACACAAGCTGACGTTCGAAGGTAACTTAATTGAGACCAAACTATTCAATAATGTACAGCGACTAGATTTACCAATAGGAAATGCAGAGGCCGGTAGCAGCTTTAGGCCTACAGCACATCCAGTTCCAGGGCCCACACAAATCATGACGTCATAGTTTGTTTTGTTTATTCTTACGTCACTTCACAGTAAATACGAAATCCGCGTCCGGGAATAATAGGCCGCGATCAATTCGAGTCGATAGAATTTATTAATTTCTTATTATTTTGTCTTCTAAGTAGGGATTTATTTATCGAATAATTTACTTGTTTCAATTATTGCTTGAGATATTTCATGATTCTTCATATATACGAACAAATTTTATATCCACCGATTAAATATATATTGAATAATGAAAATACAGGTAAAATTATTGTGATATATTTATTTCTCGCAAATAGCACAAATTAACTTTACTATTGTGGCCCAGTAGTTACAGTTCAGAGTACCAGAATTGGAGCAGAGAGGTGCGGGCTCGATCCCAGCTCTGTGCTCCAGTTTGTTTCTGGTCAGAATCGGCGAGGAAGCCGGGCGGTTTAGCACAGCAGAATTGTTGCAGTGAGTTGCGAGTTCGAGACTGCAAAATGCTGTGAATGTTCTGCGATGTCAAGAATCGGCGACAGGCCTACGGCCTACTAAACGCTGAAACCGCTATTATTATTATTTGACTCTATTTATTGAGGCCAGGTTATGGACACAAACTACAAGATTAGACGAAAGTTTAACATATTGCATAATCGTTAGGGACATGAAGGTTTAAAAATATTCTATAGCAACGTAAAAGCTAACACTTTGTGTTAAGTAGCAAAAATATCATATTGGAAAGGGCATTCCACGTTTATTAGCGCGCAGTTCTTGCACCGCGCTCCCGAGGCCCAAGCTTTCAAACTTAACCAATAGTTAATGACTCATCCGAAAAATGAGAAGGCTGTGATTCGGCTCCAAAAGAACCGCTCGGTTCCAGTGAAGAAAGGATTCCTGCTGCGAGTAATGCTGACAAAGAGCCCTTTAGTTCATTTGTATTATTTCCACTTTCATTGCCTCGTAATGTAGTTCCCAATGCTTTCTCATTTTTTATGTAGATGTCGCTATTTTGTACACTGAAACTCCAATTGTTGTGGGAGAAAGGAATTCCGCCTCGTGAATTTCGCGGATTGATGACTCGTTCGTGCAGCACCTCAGGGCACGTAGCTCGTGCGATGTTTATACTGTGAAAAGAGAATCCGATGCTATAACGATATTGGTGTTTCATCTAAAAGAAAAAATAAGCAAAGGGGGTTAGGAGTTGACCTCAGTTGCTAGGAACTCGTTAAAAAGTCTTTGTTTGTTATTTTGCAGGCAGTATTTCTTTCTCTCAAATTGCTTTCCATTGACACTGAATCGTATATTGAAATTAATTATCGAACTAGCTAACATTTTCGTCTTAGCTTAGTTCATTTCATCCTTCATATACACCACGACTGTCCCATTCAATCGGAATCAACCCACAACGACCTACTCGATTATCCGATTCAGCAGTCGAGAGCCATGGAAGAAGTCAACAGCGATGATATTTCCGCTCTGGAGCCAGTCACTAGAGTCCAGCCACTCATCCACAGGCTCAGCCACTCGATCGGCAAAACCTCGGACGCCGATGCCACCTGGGAGAATCACGTCCCAGATCGAAGGCGTGAGATGAGCCATCAAGGCCCAGAAGTGTGTGGTCCGGTGGTGTTTCCGTGACGATTTCTCCATGAAGTTTATAAGGTCAGTCGTAACCTTAGTGTTGGCCCATTCCTATGTAGCATAGGTGGTTAAAATGATTAACAGGAGCTTCCTTGTACCCTGTACATGACGGAGACTTACTTTGGCTTTAAATGACTGAATGCTAAAAGCATAAATACGTAATGACATTATTTATTCACATTATTCATCTATGAGGGCAAAGTGATGAGGTAAGATATGTATATATTTTCAAAACACGAGTACATATTCTGAACACTAACCTTGTTATTCACGGAAATCTATAGAAATTACGAGTAATTAAATTAATGCAGCATTAAGATTAATAACTATATTTTAATCTAAAACTACAAATGTTAGCAGCAGCCGAATTTCTCTAACTATTAATTTGCAAGAATTTCTGAACAGTGAGTATTCTTTTTTCTTTTTAGCGCATTTACACATTTATGGAAAAAAAGCGCTATTGTGCTCGTCATGTCCATTCGTCCGTGACTTCACGGACGGACGAGAAAATGCGCTCTCTGTCACTCACTGCAGCGAGTACTGATCTAACTTTTTAGATAAGACCCTGCTTGCTATATGTAGTGTATCTTCTTTGCCCAGGACATCGATTATGCTCACCTCAAGTTTGATGGCCAAAACCATGGACGATTTAGCCTCATGCCTTCGTCTTCCTAGTTGGCGATGACCTATCAGAGCCATGGGAAGCCAAAACCATGGATGGTTCAGCCTCATCCCTTCGTCTCCCTAACAGACGACGACCTACCTAATACATGGTGGGCCAAAGCCGTGGATGGTTCAGCTTCACCCTTTCGTCTCCCTAACAGACGACAACCTACCTGATACATGGTGGGCCAAAGCCATGGATGGTTCAGCCTCATCCCTTCGTCTCCTCAACAAACGACAACCTACCTGAGGTATGGTGGGCCAAAGCCATGGATGGTTCAGCCTCATCCCTTCGTCTCCCCAACAGACGACAACCTACCTGAGGTATGGTGGGCCAAAGCCATGGATGGTTCTGCCTCATCCCTTCGTCTCCCCAACAGACGACAACCTACCTTAGGCATGGTGGGCCAAAACCATGGATGGTTTAAACTCACGCCTTCGCAACCCCAACAGACAACCACCTACCTGAGATATGGTGGGACCAAGCCATGGATGGGTCAGCATCGTGCCTTCGTAACTCCAACAGACGATGACTTACCTGTGGTATGGTGGGCCAAAGCCATGGATGGTTCAGCCTCATCCCTTCGTCTCCCCAACAGACGATGACCGAGCGACCAGCTTCCCAGATATCGCCCAACGTCACTCTGTCAGAAGTTGGTGCAAACGCAAACCCTTTGGATGCCTCAGAGGTTCCGTTACCAACTGAATCGTGCACAGCCAGTATGGTCGAATCATATTTGCTTGGGTAAGGAAATAATAATGCTCCAAGTTTTGTTTCAATGGCTTCTAGCACTTCAACGGTTGCTTGAGGATCCTGAAAATGAAATTTTCATTTTTAAATGGATTAAGTATCACGCGGAAGATTTTGATTTTTTCGAATCAAAACATATGGAAATATAGTCAAAAGTCCCGAAATTTCTAAAATATGGCTGCTCGTATATGTACGTTTAAAATATATTTATGTACACATGATTGTGCTTTCTAAGGACAGGGATTTTACTCTCTAAGGAGAGTAAAATCCTTTAAAAATAATATTTTTCAATTTCACGAATCAGATTTTCAATTTGATTTCGAACTTTGGAAATAAGGTTTCCAAAATACATTTTTCTAGTGTTCGTTTAGGGCCATTAACAATGGGATTATATCACCAAGTGAAATAAATGTTCTGCAACGCTTAAAATTTGAGATTTTGAAATGACCTAAATACAAGCGTAAGTACTATTAATAGAAATTACACTGAAAATAATTCTAAAGTTCATACCAGTCCGGATGTGTGTATATTGATAGCTGGAGTACTTCGGCTATCACCGCAGGCATAAGTCATTCGAAAGTCACAAGGAGATATGAGTTCAGAGTTTAATAATTACAGTAAAAACACTAAAATGCAAAATAAAATATGCACTTCAATTAAATTACCTCGAAGCCCACTGGGGTCCTGTGTATGTCCAGGATGACAGGGTCAGGGGAGAGTTTCGTGAAGTGTAGTACATCATCCGTAAGAGTAGAGAACGGCATCCACCTAACTTTGTCGTGGTTAATCCACAGTTTCTCTGGCATGTCAGGGTAGTACCCCAGTCTAATATCAAGGTGCCTGTGAGCAGAGGTATGAATGTAGCATTATGATTAGGCCTCAGACGTTCTAAGAATAAAGAATAAGGTATATTACCTTAACTGGAAATATATTTTCAATTGCCAACCACAATGTCGGGAAGATGAAAAAACTGTGAGGAAACTCCACTACGTCGTGATTAAATATACCCAAGTCTTGCTAGAAGTTTCATTATTCTGATCTGACCTGACTCCATACAGTAGCTGATCAAGGATTGTCTCATCCTGACAGACAACCCAATTTGCGACGGCATCATATGAGTCGTTCGCTGTCAGAGAACCGGCGTTGTGAGATCCCAGAATGGCAAGGTCTTCCAAAGGCCGGTTGATCAACACATCCCTCACGAAAGAAGTTCAATTTACGGTCATTTGTTAACAATGACATCCAAGACAAGTTAGTAAAATCATGCTGTGCAAATATTTCCTACCAATTCTGTCCGAGAGTAGTTTGTGGATATAAATCCTCATGTGTTTACCAGCAGACCTAGTTAGCTTAGAGTCCACTATGTCACTGAAAGCTTGCCATCATGCCATGGACGTTGAGGCATATGGGAAACAGCATGTGTCACGAGGACAAGAATTCGGTGCACGGAAGTCATAATTCTATAAAGGGGCAGGGATCCTTAGTAAAGCCCTCCAGTAACTGACTAGTACGCCGCCATGTAACTCGCGCTAGAGCTACTCCAACCATACGGTCGACATCTTAATTAGCCTATACCTGTTCGTATCACTAATATAACTCTCATGTATCCACCTCGTATAAAGATAAGTTCTATAGGAAATGTTACTTGCTTATCCCCCACGCACTTAGTTAACTAATCCCTATCCTCGTGTATTAATATATAATCAGTCAGGGGGCGCTTAAAATAACCACCTGACAATTACAGCTTGATAAACATCAATCGTAGTGCACAATAGAAAGATGGACATCTACAACATTTAAATTTAATAAGGCCTTTGAACGAATTAAATTAATTTTTATTGAGGGTAGGGAAGAGCTTGTGAATTTTCTCTCTGTCATAACAGCTGGTGTGGAGATGATACGTACCTGTTGTCCCACATCCACGTTGGGTGAGCTTGGATGCAGGCTGCGTCTATAACTTGGCCTTGCCTTATGTAGGCCACCCAGTGACCCACACAGCCTCCCTCAGCTAGCTCGGAACTCTGGTCAAAAAAAATATATATACATATGTATAAGCTTTACGTGTTTGCCGTTGCAAACTTCTAACTGCATCAATACTAGTGCTACTTTGATGAAAAAATTTACCCAACTACTTCATGTTCAAGTAACAACGAATAACAGTATATGTGATATTCACTTGACCTCTTAAATGAATATCTTCATTTATCGACATCTTGCCGATCACAATACGTTTTGCCACAATGAATTCCGTAAACACTGAACCGATGGATTTTCAAGCCAACGAAGCGAGTTTACTCACACTCAGTCGAGGAAATGCAACCGTGGATGTAATTTTTCCGGCCGTTGATGTTGGCAGGGCTGAAAATTTTACCCACGGCTGAGACCCTGACCACCCTGTTGAAAAGTTAGCTTCTCCATGCATGCGGGAGCTCCTGTTGGAAGCTAGCGAGGACACTTCCACGTCACATGCCGTAGATCCATTACAAATGTTACCGAGAGATCGCTCAGTCACAAACTCAGAGGCTGCCTCAATAATCTTGTTTTTCGGCTGCATTAAAGATGAAGAAATGTTTCGATTTATACTTGATTCAGTGCTGGACTCTTGGACATTAGCTACGCGCTCGGTGCTGTCTGAAATGCCGGTTGTTGGATTATTGGATTCGAGTATTAGGGGATCAAGCGTGGAAACTTCGAAGTTTACGTCATCACCATCTTTGGAAACAACCATGGGTCTTGACGCGGGTTTTCTCAGGGATTCGGGAACTGACTCATTGAAATGTGCTTTAGAGACAAAACCCGATTGAAGGCTCATTGGATGAATTTGTGCTCCTGGTGTTTTAATTTCTCCAATAACTCTATCTACTACAGCTGACTTTTTCTCGCCTCTTACTTCAATATTGGGATAAATTTCCATTTTATTTTCGTCTGTAATGAACGGTGCTTCCGCATCTTCTGTAGGATAATCCAAAATTTTGCTGTTTTTTCGAATTTTAATTTTGTTTTTCCCGTAGGTTTCCGTATTTTGATCATAATATTTGTCATCAATTTGGTAATCTTCTGAATCGAAATCTTTTTCAGAATAATGCGTGCCAACGCTCGCCATCTTTTCATGACTTTTCTCCTCATCTTGTCTGGAATAAGTCTTTGAACCGTCACCTAAAGATCCTTTCAGAGGAAGTCGTTTCGGAATATTTATATGCGTAGAAGCACCTGCTTCTGTATACTGAACTTTATTAGAAGAACCAATCTTTATCATTGCTCTTAATTTATCCGCACGGGATATGCGATTTTCAAAATAGGTAATATCAAATTTCAAGTCATCATTATTATTTAGATGAAATTCTTTGTTGATTTTAAACAGCTGATTTATGTCATCAATTTCAATTTCAAAGTTACGAAGATTCGCCACTGAATACCACCTCAAAATAAGGCTGTTGTTCAGTAATTCATTTATTGATGAATTGCTCATCTGCTTGAAAGTGTCGTCCTGCTCAACTGGGCTATTCAACCCACGAGGTTTTTTGACGATTATTCCCGAAGAGAGTGGACTAGTCGTGATGAGTATGGCGGACGGGTTCACTTCGTGCCCACTTATTACTAATCTTGATGGGTCTCTGTCATCGTTCGTCGATACTATTATTGATGAAAAGTTTTTTTCGTTCGAGGGGCTGGTTACAACTCGAACAACAGAATTTAAATTTGAGACAAGGTCACTTGCAACAATCGTTATTTCGTTCTCGTTTGTGCCATTTGTAATTAGAATAAAGTCGTTTTCAAACGTCAAGTTCCTTGATATATTTGCAGAATCGACTCGCAACTCAGTCAGAAAATCAGTTCCGTTGATTTGCACATCTTGTAAAAATGGCGACTCAGTTGCGAAATCTTCAGCAGGTGGAGCAGTAGAAGTAGAATTATCGTCCCCCCTAAGTTCAGCGTTGTTTCTTGTAGCGGCTGCACCTTTATTAGAGAAATAAATGACATCCTTTTCAGTATCGTATGCTGTTGCGTAATACTCGTCATAATAATCGTCTTCGTATTTCTGATAGTCAGGATGGTCATCGTATTCATCACCGTAATCAAACTGGTAGGGATCCTCATTATGTTTTTTCTGATGTCCGCGTGTATTTTTCCCAGAACTGTAACCTTTGTTTCGAACTTCGTGGCTTTTTCTGTGGTCATCATCTTGATAGTCATCTTCATATCCATTGTTACGTCGCCTATGGTTCGAGTTTCTGAACTTTGATTTGTGTTCATAATAGTCATAGTCGTGTGAACTTCCATAATCGGTATGTTTGTCGGGATAATCCACATGGCGTTCATGGGAGACACTCCCTGACGAGCGCCCACTACCACGGAAGTCGTAATCGTGCGAATCTCTATCATGCTTATGTGGGTCAAAGTAATCATGATAATCCCGGACAGAAGAGTAACGAGTAACCGGTTGTCGACGGAGGCGATAGTAAGACCCAATACCATGATCACGGTCACTGTGGCTGGAGTGAGTGCTAAAGGGACGACGGTGAGACGATTTCTGGCCTAACCGATGCCTTCCAGTGCGCTTGAAATATTCGTCGATACCAAACTCACTTCTGACTGATATATTTTCGGCAGAACTTGGTGATACCGATTCAGGAACGCTTGCATTAGTTGCTTTGTCATTTTTCACGCTGCTTTCACTGTTTATCGCTGGTCCTGTCTGCATTGTTCGTGCTATTTCAGAATTTGTTTTAGTTCGGGTAAGAAATTTGCTTGAAATTGATGGGGCCTGAGTATTTTGATCGAGTTTGTATGGATCGCCGCTGTGATATCTGCTCACGTTTATTGACCTGTCGTTGGAATTGGGAGGGACCATACTTGGATTTTCCTCGGGTTCTTTACTGAAAAATTTCGCTTTCGTAATTTCTTCACCAATGCTAATTTTATTGTTAACCAACTCATCCTTCTTTCTTGCCTCTTCAACTTTCTTATCGGGCACCCGCCTGGTGGCGGACTCGGCAGTTGCGTCGAGGATACCAGAATTTTCCATGATGATCGGATCAGAAATTTCAACATGATTTTTCTCAGGATTTTCTTTCGGTAAGGTACTTGTTTTGAGTTGGACTACAACTTCCGAAATTAATTTATGACTTTGCCTCTGTTTTTGTTTCCTAACATTTGCCCTTCTCGATTGATTATTAATCTGTGATTCATATGGATTGCTCTCATTTTTCTTGACGCGAGTTGCGTCGTTCTTTATGTCAAGTGTGCTCAAAATATTAATATCAATAACACTACTGTTATCAGCCTTCTGAAGGCCTCGAAAAAAGTCTCCGTTCATTCCTGTTCGTTCTGTTGAACTGTTGTAACCATTAGATGAAGACTCCGCCTTTTCTGATGACGCCAGAGTACTTTTGCTGCTAACTTTTTTAGTTATTGGTTCAACCTCAGAGTGGTTTGTTTGTTCCCCGACTTTTTCGTTGACCTCATGCACTATAGAATCAAATGTAGTCGATGGAGGCTCGTACGCATTTCCTACTGTGGTGATATGGATGTCCGAGTTCTCGGTAGTGGTCGAAAAACTTTGTGTAGGAGGATAAAATTCAGGATCCAACACATGTTGGTTATTTTCACTAGTTTCTTTTTCCACAGCTAACGTATCTTTGAAGTGATAACTTTCATTTTCAAGCAACTCATCGTATATTATACCCAGACCACCTCCGAACCGATTTTCCTCTTCTGGATCAGTGACTAGAGTGACACGTTCTTTGATCGAGTCTTCGTCGACTCCAACGCCGCCTCCGAAGCGGTTTTCCTCCTCCGCACTCGTGCTGATGATAGGCTTGTCGTAATCCTTGCCAGATGGAAAACCTCCTCCAAACCTACCCTCCTCTGCTTTGTCGGTTATGATTATAATTTCATCATCAGAGTGTGCTTCCCTCTTTTCAGGTGATGCATCCTCTAAACTTCTTTCTGATCTAAATTTTCTGTGAGACCTCTCAGGTAGTTTAGAGTTTTTTATTTTGCTTTCCCTTTCATGCCTCTCCACAACATTGACCGATTCAGCGTTTATTTTTGGAGCATCCGGTATTTTTTCATTACCTACCATCCTCGTTTTTTGTTCCGCCTCGGCATCAGTAAGTGGATTCGTATAATTTGAAACAATAAGCTCCACTACGGCATCAGAAACTGATTGAAGCGAAGGAACTGTCGTAGGTTCCGTCATGTTTTCGCCCTTTAGCGGTTTTATCTTTGAAGTGCGAGGTTTTTTCCGTTTCCCATTCGGTATTCGTCGTCGTTTAGCTTTAGATGTCTGGTTTCTTGGGCGAATTCTTCGACGTTCATGAGAAAAGGTTTCTGTCGTATTATCTCTTATTTCGAGTGCTGGAGTACTTTCCGGGCTATCTATCGTTGAGTTTGACACTCCATTTAAGTTTGTATCAGTATATTGGTCAAGTTTTCGTCCCAGTCGTGAACCATATTCTACGACGTCAGCGGGTTCTTCAACAGAACCAGTTGTGCGTGGCTCCTGGTGTGGCTGTGCCAAGTTGAGTTCTTCTGGTGTTCTGGAGCTTGGATCTTCGGTGAAAACTCCTACCCAATCGCCATCTAAAACTTCATTCACATCCCAGTTAACCTGAAATTTTTATAGAAATTACCATCATCATTTACACACGCTCTATAAATCACATTATCCCATTATAATTCCATCGTCATATTATTCTTTTCGGCCCGTAATTCTATTTCTGTGTGAATTTTATCTTGCACCTCACTGTGAACGAAATAACTCACCTGAATCAAGCGATATTTGTCATCCTCATTTGGACTGGATTGGACGGTGGGCCAAACCTGAGGTCGCTTCATGTCGGGATCCCGGCAGGGCTCGGGCAGAGCGCTAGCTCGGAGCTGACAGTCATGGCCTGCAGTGGGACGACGGAGTTCATGCCTCTAATTGCCTCTATAAAATAAATATAATATAAAATATATATATATATAAAATGCCTCTATAAAAACATGTGTAGCTCATTTCCTTAACAATTGTGAGGCTACTTTTGGAAATAGACTGATTTTGCTTATGCCTACATTGCAATACGCGTTTATGTACTCTGCTTGCCGTGTAAATACTATTGCGATGATTTATCTGAAGCCGAAAACCATTATTTTTTGTGTAATATACATTTGCATGATTGAGTAGAAATTATTTTGATGTTATGGTTAGGTTTCAAAACGTTATGTTAAACTTTTTGTGCACCGATTGGTTTTATTCACATGAAAACTTATGTAATATCAATATTGCTTGGTATGGTATAAATTTTGCATATTTTTGTTTGATTTACCCGGAGTAGCGACGAGCAGAATGTAGACGACAACGATCGCAAGCGGAGCTCGGCAGAAGTCCATTTTTCAGGGCAATTCTTGTGCGTGTAGTGCCATAAAAAGTAACTTAGAACGTTGTTCCCGCTTGAAACTCTTCCATGCGCATTAATATTTGCACTAATTATTTGTGAATATTCATTCAAGCTCGTCGGATATTAGCAAAACTATCGCGTGGAACGCTTGTCCTTTTTTAGAAACGTAATTCTTTTCACTTGTTGAAGACAGGATGTAATTTGTGAATATTTATCAGTTGTTGTATGATGAGTTTGATGATGATCGTTGTATTCCTTATATATCATCTATATAACAAACTTATTGACTTATAACTTCACTTCTGTTGATATAAAGCAATACAATAGAAAGAATATTGTAGGATACATGGACGTTAGCTCCAGTATAACCCCAAGTTCAACCTAATTCCATAAACTAAATGAAGGAATGCCACATCAAGCACAATGTCCTCGAAATTACGTCGCACAATCTTTCAAACTTCTCTTGTTAGAACAAATAAGAAGAATCGTTTGATTTAAGTGCCTCATGAAATCCTAGACAAATCCTGCGCAACTGTGTATATCCTCACGCACCCTGCCACAACAGCTCACTTAAGTTCCCCACATAAGACGCAATGACGTACTTCCGTTCAGCACCTACGTCGTGTCACCGATCGTTGCGACCTTAACATAACATAACATAGCGATGTCTGCGCTGAAGAGTAGGCCTGATATGGCTTGTCGCCGATTCTTGAACTTTTCGTGACTTAACTTAACATAACATAGTGATCTCGGCGCTGCATTGTAGGCCTGATGTGGCCTGTCGCCGATTCTTTCGTGCCTTGTTCACAGAAGATCTAAAATCGTGTCATTTGACCGGATCTTTTCATGACTGGCGATAGTTTGAAGAAGCTACTAGACTTCCACCGGGGTCGATATGGTGCTAGGCATTTCAAGTCTGAACATATATTTTTTCATATATATCTTTATCTAGTCTATTCTTGAACGCGTTCATACTTGGAGCGCCAACGATGTAATCAGTGAAGCTGTTCCACATGTCGGTGACTCGAAACGAAAAGAAATATTGTCGCGTGGACAAGTTGCAGCGTAGTTTTTTTAGTTTATAGCTGTGGTCCCTGGTGTTGCTTCACCTTCAAAGGAATACTCGGTTCTCGCTATACGCAGAATTGAAAGTACAATAAAAATTTCTCAGTTATTTGAAAAACTGAGAAATTATTGCCCTTCCCACACGTAAGACACAGAGTGACCGCCCCAGCAGGCATTCGGTGGTTGAATCAACGTTGAATCAACTACGCATTACGACATTGAGATCGGGGTGAAAGGAGGTTTAGAATGAAAATTGAAGCAACATCTTTCATGCAACGTCGTACTGACGTTACAATTCAACGTTGAATCAATGTTGCTACTACGACGTTGCTGCAACGTTGAATTTTATGGTTGAATCGACGTTGAATCACCTACACATTACGACATTGATATCGGGGTGAAAGGAGGTTTAGAATGAAAATTGAAGCAACATCTTTCGTACAACGTCGTACTGACGTTACAATGCAACGTTGAATCGATGTTACTACTACGACGTTGCTGCAACGTTGAATTCTATGGTTGAATCGACGTTGAAACAACTACGCATTACGACATTGAGATCGGGGTGAAAATAGGTTTAGAATGAAAATTGACGCAACGTCTCTCATGAAACGTCGTACTGACGTTACAATGCAACGTTGAATCAATGTTACTACTACAGCATTGCTGCAACGTCAAATTCTCTGATTGAATCAACGTTGAAGAACCAACCTGTTTTTCGTCCGTGGCAGGATTCGAACCCGGGATCGCTGGAGACCGCGCGACGCCTTAGCAACCTTGACCACGGCAGCGCGCGTGCATGAGCAATAGAAATAAGCTAAAGAATTGTTTGACTCCTTGAAAATTGAACTGCATTCTCTGGTCAATAATCGTACAGTTGTATATATGTATTTCATTCAATGTTGGTGTGATAACATTAGTTCCATGCTGGACCAATGCCAACATTCAACGTACCAATATCGACGTTGTTTCAACGTTGAAATAAGGTTATTTTACATCCGTTTCAGTTTTGATCAGATTTCGACGTTGATTGGACGTTTAATTTTGGTTGTTCAGCACTTCAACCTGAAATCAACATTGATTCAACGTTTAAAAATTAGTAAACATTCAACGTACCAATATCGACGTTATTTCCACGTTGAAATAAAATTGTTTTACATCCGTTCTAGTGTTGATCAGATTTCGACGTTGATTGGACGTATAATTTGGGTTGTTCAGCATCTCAACCTGATATCAACATTGATTCAACTTTTAAAAATTAGTATAAATTCAACGTACCAATATCGACGTTATTTCAACGTTGGAATAAGGTTGTTTTACGTCCCTTCTAGTGTTGGTCAGATTTCGACGTTGATATGACGTTTAATTTTGGTTGTTCAACATTTCAACCTGAAATCAACCAATAATCAACGTTGTTTCAACGTCAGTTGCCTGCTGGGGCAGTTCTTGAACCAATATAGAATAGAATAGAAGTGTCGGCACTGAAGAACTGCAGTAGAAATAGGCCCATGGCCTGTTGCCGATTCTTGTACTTTTCGTGACTTGATTCCACTAGTGATCCGGCCTTATGAACCCGATCTTTCCATAACTGACGAATTTGTGACGTATTGTGACATATTTTGTGACGAAATGCGTCACAATCACCTATCAATTTCCAAGCAGAGCTTTGATATCTTTGTAAGAAAATACAAGCGAAGAAATCTTCTTGATCAATCAAGGGCGAGTCTTTTCAATTCATATCTAATCTTGTTTTTATTGTACGTCTACAATAATTATTTATTGGCATCTACAATGATTGGGGTTCGATAATAAATAACTTCATTCAATTGTTTATAGCTCTACTGTTCACTATTTTTTTTCTTGAAGTGTGATTCATGATTCTTACATACGACGTACGTTGATGATGTTGTACAGCCTGTACGAAAAATTCATTCAATATTTTCTCATTGTAGAAATTACTTCACATTTTAAAAATATAAGGGACTCGAACAGCTGCTAGTGCAGTGAATGGTACACAGCTGCTAGTGCAGTGAATGGCACACAGCTGCTATAGTGCAGTGGAAGGACACAGATGTTTACCGTACAAAGTTAATTAGTTTACGCTTCGACATTTACCCTTCGACATTTCTATATTTATGAATAGATTATACTCGAATTGTTCAGTAAATCAGTTAATATGGTTAAGACTTTTTGTCAGGGAATACTATTACAGTGAAGCGATAGTGTGCATGGCACGCCTTTTCCGGTTGTTATTCAAACTGCTGCAAGCAAAGCATGCTCCTGCATATCAACTTATTCATGGGGAACAATACTCTTAATATTATTATGGAGCACAACTAACGCATTATTAAGTGTCAGTACATGCTAAGATTTTATAACGACTGGAATGATTCTTGCAAATGTTGATGACGCAATGTAACCGTTGCTTCTCTGACACCATTGCCGCTTTCGAAGGAACCGTTTTTTTAATATTTCGAAGTTTAAATGATTCCATGTTTCACCTACGAATAGCATTATGCGAGGATAAATATACGGTTGTATCAATAAGATTGACTGATTCCAGGCCGGATCCCTTGTGAATCAAGTCACGAAAAATTCAAGAATTGGCAACAGGCCATGGGCCTATTTCTTCAGTGCCGACACTTCTATTCTATTCTAATACAATTTTGCAGGTAAGAAAACTTTACAAGTGAGAACAAAGTTTTTTTTAGTATGTAATGTAGTTAGTTAAGTGTATTTCTCATCGCGCAAACAAGTTTGGGTTCGAGTGTCGCGTGGAAGGAGCAAGTTATTTGGAAAATTGGGTCGGTTACGCTACCCTCCCTTAGCTAGGCTCCCGCCTGTCCAGCATAACGGTCTGCCTTGTGGCGGAGAGATCAAGCATGCCTACTATTTACTTTAAATATGATAATCCATCTATCATCGCACGTAGTAATTTACTTTGGATGATTCATTCTCAAACCAATTATAAAGCAATTATTGTACAAAACATTCATGCGACCAAAAGGTGTCTGAGTCAGAAAATTTTCTTGCCAATCGAAGACGTGATGAGAGACCTTATCGTCATCGTATAACTTACGATCACAGCATGACTTGCAATCACCGTACGTATAACTCACGAGCGTCGTATAACATACTAGTATCGTTTAAGATACTAGTATCATATAACTTACGAGCATTATATTAATTACAACCAGTGAATAAATTAACGAGCATCGTATAACTTACGAGAATCGTATAGCTTACGAGCATCGTAACTCAGAAGTTTTTTTAAACAATAAAGTATAAACGCAGATCATCATCGTATGAACGTTCACACATGCAATATGTATAAATGTATTGTATATAGTATGTTTGTATAATATTTTATTGTCCACTCAATCGATGATGCGGAATAAATTTCAATCCAGTCTTCCATAGTTCTAGTGAAATGTTCTTTTCCTATCATACATAAGCAACAAATTTTCAAAAAATCCCAAATATTACTCAATAACTTTTTTAGAACTTGTCAAGTAATTCAAATTCATCACTGAGTTACTAAATGCGACTGACGTCAAACCAGAAATTTCTAAATTGTACTTAGATATAGCATCCAGATAAGTGTATTATAGAGTACTTTAAAATTCGGAAGCATGCAGAAAAGATCAATGCATTTATGAATTGTGTCATCTCATCCCTGATTCCGATAGTATGTGCTAATAATTTAAATATCAATTATGTCGTTTCCCAACGCTGTTGTATTGCTTAACATATCCATGAACACGATTTATCAAATCGGCTTCTTTGTGGTTGTCAATCGGTTGTGACCTTGTCGGGAAAATACATTTACATGAGGTTCAAGTGATCAACACACAACTCTTGCAAATATAAACCACAGATAAGTAATAAAGATCGCACCATTTCATTCAAATCTGTTTTATTGCACGGGGTAATTGGCGATGCAAGTTCAAGGATCCAAACATGTTCGGCGACATTTGTCTGAATACAAAAGACACATCTGACAATGCATGGGATTCGGTTTCTTTCCTCCAATATTCTGCGAGGGGAAATGTATGGACAAGTAAGTATGGATAGGTACGTGTGGATAAAGTAATTATGGATAAGTTAGTATAGAAATAGTAAGTATAGATAAAGTAAGTACGGATATGTGAGGACACCACGCGCGACGATGATGGCTCACAGGACACTGATCCATGAAGCATCCCGAGGGAGCCCCGGCAACCGCTGGCAGGAGGCGAAACCTAACTAAGCTAACTACGAGCTGCAGTTATGGGAGGGTGGCTACGAGCTGCAGCAATGGGAGGGTGGCTACGAGCTGCAGTAATGGGAGGGTGGCTACGAGCTGCAGTAATGGGAGGGTGGCTACGAGCTGCAGTAATGGGAGGGTGGCTACGAGCTGCAGCAATGGGAGGGTGGCTACGAGCTGCAGTAATGGGAGGGTGGCTACGAGCTGCAGTTATGGGAGGGTGGCTATGGGAGGGTGGCTACGAGCTGCAGTAATGGGAGGGTGGCTACGAGCTGCAGTAATGGGAGGGTGGCTATGAGCTGCAGTAATGGGAGGGCAGCTACGAGCTGCAGTAATGGGAGGGCAGCTACGAGCTGCAGCAATGGGAGGGCAGCTACGAGATGTAATAATTGAAACTAAACGCAGCTATAAAACATTATGTTGTAAACGCAGCTACATGTTGCATTATGGACATTTTAAATAAACAAACAAGCAATAAGTTAGCGATAAATGAACATCGTCAGTCGATAGTGTCTTAAAATGCTTGTTTGCCATAATGAGTATACTGCTACATGTTTTGACTTCAAGATAATATTTTTCTTGTACTCGTACCTCATACAATGTCGTGTATAAATTGTGGTCGAGGACTTCTACTGCTCTGAACGGCACCTAAAAGGTAATAACTTGCTGCGTGTGCACGGCATTAATATAGAAGGAGGGAGTAAAATTATATTGAGATAACAACCAAGCATATGTACGTCGTAGGCTTGAGCAACGAAGTTATGAGAGAGTTGTTGTTTCTGTTCAGTGTCAGTGATTGTTGAATATTTTTTATTTTAAATTACACTTGGGTTGATTCAGAGAAATGTTCCACTATATATTTTCTTCTGTTTGTAAATGTAGCTTTATAATTCCTTTGTGCATAATGACGAACAAATCAGTTTTATCACGCATGCAGTCGCCAGCGGTTACCGATATTACCATTTTATTTCTGAATTACCGTTTTTTAAGCTACAAATTTTTCAAGCAACCACTGTATCTGCATTACGTCACTCATGGGCCGGATGTCCCAATTGGCCGCTTCCTGACCAATGAGAAGAGGCCTCGCAAGGGCACATTCAGAGTCGGAAGTTAGCATGGCAAACAGATGTAGACGCGCTGCTCTACACGGAATATTTAATACAAACTCGGCTTGCTTCTATACTGACATGCATCAGCGACTTTTATTTGCCCCCTTGCAGTGGAGCAACGGCCTTCATGCGATCGACTTGAGATCGCAATTAAGGCCCATCGTAATTAAGTACCAACCTTCCATTGTTTGGCCAATTCAGGGATAAGCCATAAGCACAAGTTAGGCCTAAACACGCGACACCCCTGGTCGCTGTTTCAGGAAGGTGGCTCACATTGTGGATGCCGCTCTGAGCAAGCGGCCGACGTAATTAAGACTCTCACAAGCCTCTAGTCCCGTTTTCTAGCAGTAAGGGTATCTTCTAATGGTGGTTTTTAGGTTTCGCCACATAGGTTGGGGTCTGAGTCTCAAATATTTAATGCTAAAAGCTGACATGAGAAAGAAAGGTGGGTACTGCCCTCTCCCGCTCCTTCAGAATCAACAAAGTCTCTCCTCCCACCATCGCACCTCATGATCAGATTCCGACCAACAGTTTCTTTCCTACTAATTCCCATCGTTCTGTCCCTTGCTATTTTCGCGAAAAAAGTGCGTCGATAATAATAAGTTTTCAGTGTTTATAAGCTAACAACCACTCCTAAATAGGTGCCAGTCAGCCCCAAAACATTTGCTGGAGAACAGCCTGATCAAATTCGCGTGCCATAATTCAGAATAAATGTTGCCTTTTCAAGAAAAATTCACAATTTTGATTCTTTTGTGTGAATTTTGTCAAAATTTGTTTTCATTTAGGCCTATGTAGCCACAAGCGGAGTGCTCTATAAAATTTCGGAGCAAAGGCGTCATGCAGAAATACCTACGTAATTGACTGCCTCCACTTTTGTTCAGTCATGTTCCGTTTGGATATATAATAATCCTGCAAGCCCATACAAATGTAAACCCCTACCAGTTTTAGATTACTTCAAGCACTGTATAAGTACATCTTTTCATAGCATCATTCAAAGAATTATTTACTTCGCTTATTTGAAATTCTATTGCTCATCCTTTCCGTATAAGAAAGATAGAGTTTCGTTGAGTAATGATTCAAATAAATCAAATTATATTATGAAGACTTTTAACAGGAGTAGAAACTCAGATGTTTTTGGTCACTGCAGGAATTCATGTATTTATTGACGGGCGTTATTGGAACGAAGATGGCGGAAGGTGGAGGGTCCACCAGTGGATCTACTTTTGGAGTTTTCCCTTATCCAAATGATCCACTTCCTCTAAAAACATTATACCCATTTGTGAACGAAGATGAAACGCCTATACCTCGCTGTTGGAGTTCAAAAGACAGATATAATCATATTGGATTATCTCAGAATAATCTACGCGTGCACTACAAGGGTGAGTTTTCATCTATGACGTTGGAACTTCAAACTATTTCTTTGTTCATATTACCAAATTTTGGCTTTGCCCTACAGTTTTAATAGAAGAAAAAATTAACATCTCAGTAATTTGCTTTCAATAAGTTAATTTTGAGCTGTAATTTTCTTATAAATGTCCTGGAAAGTTCGTGAACGATGCCTTTGTTGTGTCGATCAGCTGATACATTGACGTCGTAATCTACCAGCGTGACGCCGTAAAGAAAAACCAAATGGTGAAATACATATTGCAATGAACACCTATCCTATGTGTTCATTGAAATTTATCAAATTATCTACTCAAAAATTTATACAGACAGTAAATTTATAGTTGAGGTTCAAGGTTCTGTTCATTTTATAAAAAGTTCAAATTAAAAAAAAAATCCTTTTTATATTTTAGGCTCATAGCAATATTTTATTTAAGTATTCATAATTTTGTGCATTTCAGAATTATAATATTAATCAACACTGTCTATATTATGCTAATATTTTTTATGAATAATAATTAGGCTGGTATATTAATAGTGTGCAAAATAATTTAAATTTTTTTATATAAATATGTAGGCTAATTTGCATGAAGATTGAGGTCATTGTGGACTGTGGAGTGTGGAAAATCAGTTGGAAGCCATTTGTGAGTGTGACTGTGACAAAAATGCTGGTGCTTAAAGTAAATTTCACCTATTTTCTTGACTCTAGCCTAATTTATCACACAAAATGTTTGAAAAATGCCATAATCTGTTTTTGCTTTTCACAAATAGCTCATTAAATGCTAGTTTTTACTAAAGATTTTTGAAAATTTTTGCCCAATGTATCAGATTCAGATTGGGCCAGACAGATGAATCATTTTATTTTCTTAACTATGTTGTCCCCATATTATTACTGGAAAAATAGTTTACTTTTTCTCAGTGACTTGTAACATTCTTGATTTCTTGAACGGCACCATACCTTCATCATAACCCTTTTCTGGGCGGACACAGAATTTGATAGAAATACGATGAAATTGCAATATTTGATGATTGTACTTAAAAGTATGAGTGTATGACCAATTCTAAGATATATTTATTCATAAGCATTTTTAGAAAAATTTTGTATATAAGTAGTAAATCACAATTATTGAAGTGATCATATATGGGGCCTTGCTGGCTTAAGGTACAAAAATTTGCAGATTTTGATATTTAAAGTTTACTATTTAGATGGCAAAAAACATCTTGATTGCTCTTTTATGCATGTATTATAACACATACAAAGGAAGCAATCAAGTTGAAAAAAATTATAGGTACATTTAGTATTTTATGGCAAGATATTTCCAGACCATCTATATAATGAGACATGCATGCCGTATGTAAAGAATCACATTCATATACAACATATACCTAAAACTTGTGAATAAATTGTCAGTAAGAATTAGTATTGGTGAAGCCTGAAGGACATGTTATCGTCTGGGTCAGTACAGAGACCATCTTGCTTGCAACCGCGTTGGCTCTATGTTCTGTAAAGAAGGGAATGCCATGAGCTTGGAATGCAGTTAAAGTCGGGGAAAACATCAAGTGCTGAACTATAGGTACAAAAGACTGAAAGACTTGGCTTAAGTCATAATACCGCTAACTACCATAAAATGGGGTAACTTAGACCACTTTTCGTTTTTTTAACAAAAACTCCCACAACTCGAAAACTATTTGACATAGAAAAATTTTGTCAATGGGCATTAAAGGCCTAATACTGAGGCTACATAACACAATAGAAAGATTTAAAAAGTTTGCATACCGTAAACTGGGGTAACTTTGACCACTTTTTTTTCAAAATGATGCAATTTTTTTACTAGATAAGTTAAACTTAAATTGAAACAAGAAAAATACAGGTCTATACTCTAGCTTTACTCACCATAAATTGCTGGCTCCTGCCTCTCATAGTTTTGATATAATTTAAAAAAAATGATGGTCTTTGTTACCCCAGCTCTTAAGGTTTCTTTGACCGGGTGGTGAAATCAATTTTATTTTTTGGTAAAATAACTCCAAATAACTCCATGCATTCTAGTAGAACTCTTCTAGTTACATATGCAAAAGAAAAATGTTAGGAAAGTGTCATAGTTTGCAAATGGGGGGCGCCGCCCCCAAATGGGCAAAATGTGACCATCTAATGCAGTGGTTCCCAAACTTTTTCAGGCTGGCGCCCCCTTTGGCTCCCTAGTGAACTTCTAGCGCCCCCCACAGACGCATATAAAACATACGCCTCTTTCTTAAAATTCAGTACGCTGCAATTTTAATATATAAATGTTCAACTCAAATGTGTATTTCACAAATAGAACACATTTAGTGAACCAATATGTTTTTAAGCTGTTTTAACCGTTTCAGCAATAGAAACCTAAGACGTCTCGCGCAAATTCACGGCCGGATTCGTGGCCAGTCGCACGACCAATCTCCAAATTCAATTATCAAGTAATATCTCCCAAACTAATGAACGCAGCTCAAGGAAAATTGGAACATATATTCATCAGAACCTAACGTTAATTTTTAGCTCGTAAAAATATTTAAATTTCACCTTCATTTGTGAGTTATATTACGATAAAGGCCGAAGTTCGCAGTGATCAAATAATTTCTTCCAAACTACTGAACTGATTTGAACGAAATTTTGAATATGCATTCCTAACTACCAAGCGTTGATTTTTTTGGCTTTTAAAAATTTTCGATTTTACCTTTCTTCTGCTAGTTTTTTTTTTTCATTTCACAGTCATTCTTGATTTCACACTTCCTTATATTTGGCCCGTATTGCCGGATAATTTGTCGCTTAAATTCGCGGCGATCAAGAAATTTCTTCTAAACTACTGAACAGATTTCAACGAAACTTTGTATACCTAACCTCTCAACAGTGATGTTTAGCTTTCGATAATTTTTCTATTTTGCTTTCGTTCGCGAGTTATACAGATATAGGAGGAACGACCGGCTTTTCTACTGGCCGCTTTAACCAAGAGCCGCTTACGTATATCCGTATACATATAGCCGTATAACTCGCAAACGAAGGCGAAACGAAAAAAGTGTAGCGAGCTAAACATCATCGGTGCTGAGTTTAGGTATTTAAATACTAAGTTTCTTTCAAATCCATTCAGTAGTTTTAGAAGGAATTTCTTGATTACTGCGAATTTAAGCACGTATTGCTGTTTAAATCACGAATGAAGGTGAAATGGAAAAAACTCGCGAACAAAGGCACAATCGAATAAATTTTTTTGAGCTAAACATTAACTTTTGGTAGGTAGGACTGTAAATTCAAAATTTCGTTCGAATCTGCTCAATAGTTAGGAAAAAATTTCTTGATTACCCGGTACTGTGAATTTCGGCCCGTATTGCCATATAACTATGGCAAAAACGAATGAAGGCAAAATTAAAAAAAATTCACGAGCTTAACATTACCGTTAGGTCCTAATGAATACGTGTACCAAGTTTCGAGTTAAGTTCATTAGTTTGAGAGATATTACTTAAACATTGAATTGGAAATTGACCGTGAGATCGGCCGCAAGCCCGGCCGTTAATTTGTCCGAGACGTAAACCCAGGAGAGGTTAGAAAACAGATCTGGGTGAAAAAATCCATCGCTGGGAGTCATGTGCTGCACGTGTTGTGTACAAATCGTCAAACGTTCGAACTTCTGACTTCAACTTCGGACTACCGCCCCCCTATCGCCCCCCAAACGCCCTCTTCTTCCTTACCGCCCCCCAAAATCTTTCCATCGCCCCCAGGGGGGCGATATCGCCCACTTTGGGAACCACTGATCTAATGGCAGCCGTGATGGGGTAACATTGACCAGTTTGGAAATTAAGTTAAAATTACCATTTATAAGACTCTGTAGAGTCTGAAACATGAAGAAAAAAACATTAATAGGTGCATCAAACATAAAATATGTTACCGTAAAATGGGGTTACTTTGACCGGTGGGGTAACTTTGACCACTTTTCGTTTTTTCAACAAAAACCCCCAAAACTCAAAAACGATTTGACATAGAAAAATTTTGTCAATGGCCATCAAAGGCCTAATAATGAGGCTACGTAACACAATAGAAAGATTTAAAAAATTTGCATATCTAATATGTTAAAAAATTAATAATATGACCCATGAAAAAGAGCTATTATTAAAAGCCTGTCAGAGTACCCCCTCCAATTTTTTCATTTTTTGGTAAAATAACTCCAGGTTTTGATGCATTGTAGTAGAACTCTTCTAGTTACATATGCAAAAGACAAATTTTAGGAATGTGTCATAGTTTTCAAATGGGGGGCGCTGCCCCCCAATGGGGTAACTTTGACCACCTGATGGCAGCTGTGATGGGGTAACATTGACCGGCTTGGAAAGTAAGTTAAAATTACCATAGGTAGGTACCATTTTATGTTTGATACACCTATTAATGTTTTTTTCTTTATGTTTCAGACTCTACAGAGTCTTATATATGGTAATTTTAACTTAATTTCCAAACCGTGTTTCAGACTCTACAGAGTCTTATATATGGTAATTTTAACTTAATTTCCAAACCGGTCAATGTTACCCTGTCCCGGCTGCCAGTAGGTGGTCACATTTCGCCCATTGGGAAGCAGCGCCCCCCATTTGCAAACTATGACACTTTCCTAAAATCTGTCTTTTGCATATGTAACTAGAAGAGTTCTACTACAACGCACCAAAACCTGGAGTTATTTTACCAAAAAATAAAATTGATTTTACCACCCGCTCAAAGAAACCCCAAGAGCTGGGGTAACAAAGACCATCACTTTTTTTGAAATTACATCAAAACTATGAGAGGCAGAAGCCAGCAATTTATGGTGAGTAAAGCTAGAGTATAGACCTGTATTTTTCATGTTTCAATTTAAGTTCAACTTATCTAGTAAAAAAAATGGCATTGTTTTGAAAAAAAGTGGTAAAGTTACCCCATTTTACAGTATATAGGTAGCTATGGTAATTTTAACTTAATTTCCAAGCCGGTCAATGTTACCCCGTCACGGCTGCCATTAGGTGGTCAAAGTTACCCCATTGGGGGTGGCGCCCCCCATTTGCAAACTATGACACTTCTCTAAAATTTGTCTTTTGCATATGTAACTAGAAGAGTTCTACTACAATGCATCAAAATAATAGCTCTTTTTTGTGGATCACATTTTTAATTTTTTACCTTTAAATTTTACTTTTTAAATCTTTCTATTGTGTTACGTAGCCTCAGTATTAGGCCTTTGATGGCCATTGACAAAATTTTTCTATGTCAAATCGTTTTTGAGTTTTGGGGGTTTTTGTTAAAAAAACGAAAAGTGGTCAAAGTTACCCTGCCGGTCAAAGTAACCCCATTTTACAGTATCTATTAAGTTAAAAAATTAAAAATGTGACCCACGAAAAAAAGCTATTATTCAAAGCCTGTCAGAGTACCCCCTCTAATTTTTTTATTTTTTGGTTAAATAACTACAGGTTTTGATGCATTGTCGTAGAACTCTTCTAGTTACATATGCAAATGACAAATTTTAGGAAAGTGTCATAGTTTGCAAATGGGGGGGCGCCACCCCCAAATGGGGTAACTTAGACCACCTAATGTCAGCCCTGACGGGGTAACATAGACCGGCTTGGACGTTAATATAAAATTACCATATATAACATATTTTATGTTTGACAGCCTATTTATGTTTTTTCTTCATGTTTCAGACTCTACAGAGTCTTATACATGGTAATTTCAACTTAATTTCCAAGCCAGTCAATATTACCCCATTAGGGCTGCCATTAGGTAGTCACATTTCCCTCATTATGGGGCGGTGCCCCCCCATTTACAAACTATGACACTTTCCTTAAGTTTGTCATTTGCATATGTAACTAGAAGAGTTCTACTACAATGCACCAAAACCTGGAGTTATTTTACCAAAAAATATAATTGATTTTACCACCCGGTCTAAGTTACCCCAAGAGCTGGGGTAACAAAGACCATCACTTTTTTTGAAATTACATAAAGACATGAGAGGCAGGAGCCAGCAATTTATGGTGAGTGAAGCTAGAGTATAGACCTGTATTTTGCACGTTTCAAGTTTAATTTAGCTAGTAAAATAATTGCATCATTTATAAAAAAGAGTGGTCTAAGTTACCCCATTTTACGGTACTAAATGCTAACGAACATATTTACCAAGCGCTGTAGAAATTTACCTTTAGCAGGCAAATGACCAAACTTCCATCTCTAAGCATTGGTGGGCTTATGCTCATACAGCGGGGGGAAATAAATATTCGTACACTTGAAAAATCATATTTTAATGTAAGTACACAAACTTAACAGGAAAAGTGATTTAAATTATGTATAGAGATGCATAGTATTCAAAAATACTATCAAAAGAAAATTATTTTCCAGGATGCTCTGGTAGTTGGCAGCATTCATCCTACCATCTATAAGTGATATGTTACCAACACCTTTTGCGGAGAAACAGCCCCAGATCATGATGTTGCCACCACCAAACTTTACAGTAGGCACAGTGTTCTTTGGAAGGTAGGCTTCACCGTCTTTCCTCCACACATGGTGACGATAATTTCAACCGAAAAGCTCAATTTTTGTTTCGTCCGTCCAAAGAACCTTTTCCCAAAAAGCATAGTCTTTGTCCTTATGCTCCTTGACGAATTTCAGCCTGGCATCTTGATGTCGTTTAATTAGGAGTGGGGTCTTTCTTGGGGTGCGTGATTTTAATTCGTTTCTGTGAAGTTCATTGCTTATCGTTCGTTTGGTTACTTGAATTCCTGAGACACTCAGGTGACTTTGCAACTCTCCTCGAGTAATCTGTGGATTTTCTTGGATTTTTCGTCCCAATAATCTAGCAGATCGTGCAGAAATCTTCCTAGGAGCACCTGATCGTCTTTGGTTTTCAGCGCTGTCAGGGGTCTTGAAGCGTCCAATGAACAAAGCAACTGTACTAAAAGGAACATTCAAGTGGCTAGCAATCTTCCTATAACTTTCTCCTTCCTTCCAACGCAATAGAATTAGTTGTTTTTGGGAACATGTTAGTTCTTTACCTTTAGCCATTTTTGAGACCTTCTTGTACTACAGGCAGTTGCAGAATGATCTGGTAGTTGCAAAATACGTTAACTATTGTTACTGATTACATTACTGGAACGTGCTACATGTTTCTAGTACATTCTGGAATGTTCTGGTGTGAAATATTAGTCAAAAGTTGTTTTGTACGAATACTTTTTTGACCCGAAGAAGTTAACATGTTGCATTAATTTTTGTTGCATTGAGATTTAATTTCTATTGATGCTATTTTTGAATACAATGCGCCTCTATACATAATATAAATCACTTCTCCTGTTCAGTTTGTGTACTTACATACATTAAAATACGATTTTTCAAGTGTACCAATATTTATTTCCCCCCACTGTATGTGGTATTGATGATTTACAGACCTGATGACTCTGAAAAAATAGCTAACATTTTATGGTATTACAATGAATGGTCAAGTAAATAATGATCACACATTCAAATTTTATGTCATGGAGTTGTTTAACACTTGTACATAGAGATATTCCAACAATAACAGGCAATTTGGGTGTCTATACATTATAACTACGTCAAATATATTTCAGAGATGTCACCCAGGCTGATTCTTTGTATTTCCTTTATAAGAATTTCAGAGAAAATATTTAGTAGGTATGATTCAATACAAACAATAAGCTTAGTCAGCTTCCATTTGTTGCCTTAGACTGAATTTCAGCTGGAAACCTTCACTCTGTGAAATGGTCTCTCCTGTGGAATGTGTTGATTATAAAAAGATCAAATTTTTCTGCCAAATTATATCTAAAATAATTGAAGATGGTTGTGCAGGTCCTGGGAAATCTCACAAAGATGCAGCAAGTGTTCGAGCAACTCATCCCATCCCAGCAGCCTGCGGCCTTTACTACTTTGAAGTCAAAGTGATCAGTAAAGGACGAGATGGCTACATGGGAATTGGCTTGAGCATCCAAGGCTTGAGCATGAATCGCTTGCCTGGGTGGGACAAGAATTCTTATGGCTACCATGGTGACGATGGACACAGCTTCTGCTCCTCGGGCAATGGTCTGCCTTATGGACCAACCTTCACTACTGGTGAGTCACCTAATATAGATGACAAGGAATCTTGGTAAGAGAAAAGTGTCTTGATAACTTGTGTGTATATTTATTTACCTTAGCTTAGTTTGAATTCATGGTTTGGCCGTATAATGAGCTGGCTGTTAAATTAAAGAGATTTTTGAATTGGGTTTTGAATACTGGGTGATTTTTATGAGATGTTATGCATGCTAAGTATTAGGTTGCTTTTATTGTGAGCCAATTAGTGTCAACACTTCTCTTTTCCATTGCTTACTGGTTTTTGCTAATTCATCATCTCCAGTTGAATTTCATCAATAGGTACATTGTTATTCTTTATGCTAGTGTTTATTTTCTGACCATTTTATGTATGAACTTTTATCATAAGCATCTAAGTTTATGTAACAAAAAAGTACAACCATGTACCTATATATCTATTTTACACATTGTAGAATTCCTTAAAAAAATCACTTTTGCAGTCAGAATTAATTCTACGGAACACACACTAAAAGGACCACACTAGTTGCACTGCACAAAAAATTATTTGAGTACTGGTTCTTTGTACCTGAAACGTGTGACTACTTACAAAGACTAGGATCTTGCACATCTGTGGGGAATAGTCAACCGTGCATGAAATATTTTGATAATTTTCTTCCCCAAAGAAATTTGTGGCTCTTTTGCAAATTTGTGTAAATTTGACTAACCTTGTATTATTTTAAAAATAATTTTCACAAGTTAAGTTGAGATCATTTGGCTTTGATATTTTCAGTTCTGGTATATAAGCTTTTAAATTGCCAGAACATGTATAGATATAATTCATTGGTTTTGGACAATTTAGTCCACATGTTAGTCTCTCCATAATATTAAGTCAGTTGGAAGTATTGTTGTTGTGATTAATTTTCTTAAGCATTTTATTTATTAAGTTTACAAATGGTGTATTTTATTTGCAGGTGATACGGTTGGCTGTGGTGTAAACTTGGTTGATCGCACCTGCTTCTACACCTTGAATGGTGTGCTGCTGGGCACTGCTTTTCGGGACCTGCCTGTGAGTTGCCCTACTAGTTCCGACTTTATAATAACGTTATAATTTGCAACATACATAGCATTTCTGGGATCTGCATGTGAATACTGCATTAGGTACAGTGACAATTAAATTTTAATTTTCGGTGACAATCAAATGTTAGTTTTAAGTGAATATTAAGTGTTAATATTCCACAGTAAGAATTATAGCTCTGCATTACTGTACTTTCCATTTATAGTGTTACAATCTTGATGATTTTCCTATTCAATGTTCATTTCATTTTGAGGAACTGATCTTTTTAAACGAATTTAAAACAAAAGTTAAATGGACTTACTAATATTGTTAGTAGCCTTTTTTCTAATTTTAACACATACACGCAGTATGCAAATAATTCTCAAATTTTTGCCCACACTCTCTAATGCTCCATCATGCCTGTCTTTCCGTCAACAGAAAGACTTGTATCCAACTGTAGGTCTTCAGACTCCTGGTGAAGTAGTGGACGCTAATTTCGGTGCATCAGGCCCATTTTTGTATGACCTGCGCCCCAAGCTGGAAGAAGTGCGAGCAAGTGTGCACCGCACCATCATAGAGCATCCCCTGAGTTTGCCTGGGGGTGAGCCTTGTGACCAAGTCAAGTGGACGGATATTCTCAACAAGTAAGTTCTGTCCTAACTCAAACACATTGCTCTAAAAGCTAACTTTATAATTGTTTGCAGTATTAAATTGGATTATTTATCAACTGATCAACCCTTGAACTGATAATGGGGATTTTAGCATAATATAAAGAACGGATAAACACTTCAAGAGTGTTGGTACACAGTAATAATGGTGAGAGGGACAAGAGTGGGTGCTGAAAAGTAGCCTAAACCACCCCAGGCTAACAGTGTGATCCATTAATGCGGTTAGACATTTTAACAAGTATGTTCTGTTGCTCACATGTGGGTCATTTTCTTGAGCTCGATCTGGGGTTTCGCTATTGTAAGCAATGAGTACTACAATTTTTATGTTTATTATTTACTAGGCAGTTTATTAGTGTACAGGTTGCTTTTTATATATTTCATTTAATTTTTGGTATATATATTTTTTAGCATTTTTTTAGATGCATCTTTTCCCCCAGCCACCTCTACTACTAAAAATGTAACAACAAAGTTGAAGTTCTACTTGAAGTTCTAAGAGTTCACTAGGCTCTAGATGCAATATTTGTCGGTGTGCATTCATATGTATTGATGTATTTGAACAAAACCTACTTGTTGCAGGATGGTGACGAGCTACCTCGTGCATTATGGCTATTGTTCTACTGCTGAAGCCTTTGCCAGGGCCTCCACCACCGACTTCACTGAAGAGGTCGCCTCCATACGCAACAGACAGCGTTAGTCTCTGTTCCTTGCTGTTAATTAGTCTTTGTCTCCTAATATTAATTAGTTACTGTTCCCTGTTGTTAGTTAGTCTCTGTCTCCTAATATTAATTAGTTACTGTTCCCTGTTGTTAGTTAGTCTGTCTCCTAATATTAATTAGTTACTCTTCCCTGTTGTTAGTTAGTCTCTGTCCCCTAATATTAATTAGTTACTCTTCCCTGTTGTTAGTTAGTCTCTGTTGCATAATATTAATTAGTAACTCTTCCCTGTTGTTAGTTAGCCTCTGTCCCCTAATATTAATTAGTTACTCTTCCCTGTTGTTAGTTAGTCTCTGTTGCATAATATTAGATAATTTCGGTTTCATCATTTTATTTTCAGGTCTTTCTTGTTAGTGTGACATCTCTAATTATTTTATTGAAATTTTCCTTGATTAGTTCGTTCAATTCTATTTAGTTAGTTTCAGTTAACATCTGGGGTTAATTTAGATCTTTAAATTACGTCTGTATTTTTTGCAAAGTCAATTTAATGTGGAGGTTTCTGTTTTTTAAGCTAAAAATCTTTTTTTTTTTTTTTTTTTTTTTTTGCAGTGAAGTATCAATTTTGTAAACAGTTCAACCTAAACGTATGGCTCCCATCTTTCTTTTATCGTGCATTTAGTTACCCAGTGAACAGAATGAACGAATGTTGTGGATTTGATCTTAAAAATGTTAAATTCTTGTCCTTCTCTAATTTCTGAAGAATTGTTTTTTTTTTGTGGGATTTAGAACTTTTGCAGTGTTCATGTTCCACGCATTTAACCTCCGCAGGTATTAACAAGCTGATCATGTGCGGCAACATTGGAGGAGCGATTGCACTTGTTGAAGAACTCTACCCCAAATTGCTCAATGACAACCCAAACCTCCTCTTCCGTCTCAAGGTTAGCTACTTTGGTTGCTAATTACAAAGCTACTTTTTTGCTCATTACAAAGCTACTTTTTTGCTCATTACATTTATTTTAGAGCGTTTTTTTTTTGCTTAACTTATGTTCTAGGTGATACTTGGATGTAAGAATGAAGCAGGATTTACACAAAATAGTGAAGTTTGTGGCTCTGTGTTGTAGTTTCGCAGCTTGATGTACTATTGTAGTAAATTTGAGATGTTTTATGTTGATCTTCTTATGATATTTATTGTTATAACCTCATATTTGTCAAGGTGCGTCAATTCATTGAGATCTTGCGAGGCACGGAGCAGCAAAGTCACGTTAGTGACACCAACGGCGCAACAAACGGCTTTTCTGCTCCACCATCAATGGAGGACCCGGCGCCTTGCTTGACGCCTGGTATGCTTATCACTGCTGGTTTACTGTACTGTAGACCCAAACGTTGGTGTATAATGCATCGGCCAACTAAACATTCATTTGGATTTATGCTGATTTGCTTCAGACCAAACCATTTTTGCACATTATCCCAGACTAGGCTTTTAATTTTTTAATAAATGCCAGTTTAATTTAGAGCCAAACATTATTTTAGAATGTCTATGTCCAATCATAAGCTAAAACCAAGTGTGATTTTTTTTACTGTATAGAAATATTTTAGCAATGTGCATTATTTCCCCAGATAAAGTACTAAAGCACACATCAGTAATTCAGTCAACAAGAACAGCACTCCAGCAAAGCGGCATCAGCAGGAGCAGCAAAGGAACGCCCATGCAAGCTCCGAGTGAACTAGAACTGAATGCTCGTAACAGCTCCTCAACATTTGGTGGTGCGGACAGCAACAACAGCGATGGCAATAGATCATCACGGTCACCCCCTCTACCTATTGTCTTCTCATCGTCTGATCACGGCAGGCCTGAGGCCATCACAGTCCCAGACGAAGAGAGCAGTGACACTGAAATGGATTGCTTAGACGAGCCAATGCCTGTGACTGACGATCGTCCTGCGGGGGATTTGAATGGAGTCTCGAATGGTGTTGATCAGCATCCGAATGATGAGGATATGCTTGTTGATGATGACGAGCCTGGTGCGTTTTTATGATTATGCTCAGTTTTATACTATTTTTCTTATCTTCACAAGACCAAACACTTCTTATTCATAACCTTTCAATGGCATACATCCCTCTGACGTTATATGACATGTAATATTCAATATGAATCACTATTGCAATGCAGGCTAATATTGTTGAAAGCCATATCACTTGTGAGAGCTTCTTGGCATTCTTTAGACTATTCCCTTCATGCTTCTACTTGTCATATCTTATTGATACGGTGCTTATTGTTGAATGTTCTTGGTGTTTTATGTGATCATTGCTGTAGTTTACAGTTACTGTTCTACATCGATTATTTAATTTTTCAGAAGTTCCACAAACTAACGGCACTTGTAGTGTTCCATCGCCAAAATCTCAGGGTGGAAGTTGCGGCTCAACAAATTGGCCTCGAGGAAGTCACGTTGAAACCGTATTGGCATTTGGCCGCGAGTTGCAAGCCATCAGCGAGAAGTTGCGGCGCACGCATGGCAAGAACAAGGCCAACAAACGCATGCTGCAGGTCAGAGCGTTTTTTTAATAATGCTAACAACTGTAATTTAGACCCGTAAGCCTGGGAGGATTGGGAAGTTGAAAAGGAACCCATCACCAGACCAGCAATCAAACGCATTTACAAGTAACTAGGTATAGCCGAGAAACAATTTTTAGCCTTCCTGTCCTATCCTTTCCTTGATCAGCACACTAAGTTCGTCAGACAATAGCAGTAAATGGCAGCTGACAGATTTTATATAAACTTCTCACATTTACCGCTGAAAATGTGAGAAATTTAATATGACAATCTGCGCGTAAAGGGACCTAATGCAACTTTATGAGACCCAAGAACCCCTAACGAAATCTGAATGGAATTTATTATAGTAGCTTTGGCTCAAAATGTCTAAGTTCTGAAACGATAGGAAGGTTACCTTATGCGTTTTTATGTCCGCCAAGATATCAACGCTCTATGTTGTGATAAATGATCGTATGTTTGAGCGAGATGGCTAGTTTCTTCACACCTGACTATTTACTGCCTTTGCCTATTGTGAGGACAATTCGTTACATGAATCAATTTTCTTGGCAGGCCACAGTAGAATTTTTTATTAAGAAAATGCATTGTTGAGACACCAATTGATTGTTCAAATGAGTGATCTTATAAATAATAGATTATGCTGATATGTTTGCAGTTGCGGTAATTTTATATTTAAATAGTCGGCTAGAAGAGAAAAGGTGGTGTATTTGTTTTCTCTTTTAAGAGAAACGAAGGAAGTACAGAAAAATTTAATTGTTGAATTATTATATTCTTGTGTTCAGGACGCGTTCAGTTTGCTTGCGTACAACGAGCCGTGCTTGTCACCGCTCGGCTGGCAGCTGGAAACTGCGCAGCGCGAGCCCGTTTGTCAAGCCCTCAACTCTGCCATTCTCGGTGAGACTGCAGCTTATTCCTTACAGATGCATGTTGATATGACATGCACGCTTCATTGCACTTAGATTAAGTTTTAGCGGGGACTCTCGAAACAAAAATAGGTAACTAATTCGTTTGAAATTTATTTGAACAAGTTGTTAGAGAATATTCAAATAAGCATTAACGCCGGTAAGAATCGAGCTAAAGGGCTTGTCTAGTTGCGCCATATGATCTTCCTTACGTATTATATCGTTGTGACAGCCATCCTAGCATGAAAATATGATCATTGGTTGGAATAGAGCAGCATTACCAGTTGTTATATTTCACTATGTTATAAATTATCTTTTATTTGAATCTTCAATAATCAGTTGTCATCGCTAGAATAATCTTCAATAACAATTTTCAATTTAGAATCGTGTATAAAATGACTGTTCTTATACAGGTTCTTATTAGGTGTTGACACCTAATAAGAAATTAACAGTGAACGTGATCAGACGTGACAGAAATTTCAAATGAAATGGGCATCATGTTTAATGAATGTTGTTTTTGGGAAAAACATTATTGGTCAAGTTAAAATTTTTTTCAGGTATATATTAGTTAATTGAGTACGGTACAGTGTAGGACAGCAACTTATAACCTCTGCCAAGAAAAATCTCTCATCTCGTGACCATGAGAGAAGTTCAGAATGCAGTTCAGTACCGTCTCATAGTGATAACAGGGAAGGTGCCCGGTGGTGAGCAGACGGTATTGCGTCTGAACAGACTTATTCTGGTCGCCAGAGAGGCAAACAGCAGTTTTGCTTGCAAAAAATAAAGCAGGAACCTTGAAAGTCGTGACCCGTCTGGCCGCCGTAGGACTGTGTGTCAGAGCATGTCGGATGATTTGTAAATTGTTCTTGTATTTGGTGTTCTTGTTCCAACTAGCAAAACGATTTAAATTCTAGTATTAACCTTTTCGGCAACCTTTACTTGGACTGTACCTGTCAGGTAGATTCCGATTCAGTGTAGACCATTTTCCGGGAAAATATTTTTCTAGTCAAACCTGAATGCAATCCTATTATGTTACCATAACGAACGTTATTCAATTTTATTTATTGCAATTTGTGTCAATTCGTTGTCTTTGCAGAGTCTCAAAACTTGCCTGCTCGTCCATCTCTGGAGGTTTGTGCGAGCCACGCGCAGCAACTGGTAAACCTCATGTCGAGGTCGGGCTTGGGGGCCTCGGCGTTCACTCAGATCACCTCACTTCTGCACCACTCACCTAAGCCTTATCAAATCCAGCGTTGTTCTGTCATGACGGAGACATTTCCACAAGTTGTTGGCTTGCAAGCGCCATCAACAGATCTTGGCGAACCGAGACGAAGGTCTAAACGGTCTCTGACGGGCGACCGTTTTGATAACAGTTTACCAGAACCTTTACCTCCTCGAGTGTCTTCTGTGATCTCTACTACCTCTCATGTAGCCTCAAGCTCAACCACGAGCTCTTTACCATCCACGTCTGTCTCTAGTAGTAGTAATAACAACAATAATAATAATGCTTTGCAAGCAGCTTCGAGTAACTCTTTTCAGTTGTTGGAGTCTAGAATAAGTTCCCCGATTGGGCATCTTACGGCAGAAGAGAACAGTGCTGAGCATCTAAACGGCAATGCCGTTGTTTCTGATGAGGAAATGGTTACCGGTGGTGGTGATAATATTGGTGATTCCTTCACGTCTTTACGGATGAGTCATTTTGACGGCCATAATTACAACGAAGATTTTATATTGAAGACAAGTTCTGATGTTGTGGACTTTGCATCTCCTGCTGCTGGTTCAAGACTACCTACTTCCCAAGACAATTCATTGAGTAATTCCTTGTCTGGTGAGTCAGCTGGCCAATTTCAAACGCTGCATTATATATCTGTGTTGTGATATTTAGAAGCCGCCTTGATTATTTATCAAATATTTTATTCAAATCAAGATTGTTCACGATTTTATTCTATTATAGCTATGCCACTAGCACAACTAAGCAGGAAGGTGGCATATTTTTGCATCCGTATCAATTTTTTACAACACTTCTCTTTAACTTCACTTCTTGTTTGTTTGTTTTGTCTGTCTGTCTGTCTGCCTGTCTGCTACAAATTTTATAATCGATATTTAACACACTTCTACCTGTCCAATCGATCTGAAATTTGGCACACTTCCGTAAAGTTGAAGACAATGCACGAATCAATTGACAAAAGGAATGATTTTATATATAAAAAAAATTTTTTTAATTATTAAAAAAAATAATTTCATCTGCTACAAATCTTATAATCCATATACGTTATGACACAATTTGACATGTCCAATTGATCTGAAATTTTGTACAATTGCATAAAGTCAGAGACAATGCATTAATCAATTGACAGAATAAATAATATTGAAAATTTACAAAATTTTGATATCTTGAAAAAATTTTTGAAAAAATAAATTTTTTTTCCAATAGTATTTGAAAATAAAATTAGAAATTCATTGTACATGTGTAACATCCAAGACACTGGATTGTTCAGAAGTGTTGTCTTTAAAATGTAATTTTTAAACGCATATTATTTAATATTTAATTATTTTGAAGTTTCGTTTTTATTTATCAGATCAGTTTCTTTGTCAAAACACAATAAACCTTCACCCATGTTTCTAGTCATCCACCTTGTTCCCCGCATCTTGTAAATCTTCCGCTTTTCATGGAAAGCCTCCAACCTAAATTAATTAATATGCGTATGGGCAGGTCGGGCTGGAGAAGTGCTAGACGACGCTGTACAGTTCCTGCAGAGCAACAGCGGCCTGCAGCTGTGGCGTGCTGGCGAACGACCTGCCGCTCAGGGCGACCTTGTGTTGCCTGAAGCTTCTGCTGCTGGCGCTCTACCCTCGTCTACGCCTTCCTCGTCTACATCATCCACGTCATCTTCCATATCAGCATTAGATCCTTCCAGCAGTAATGTGGTGAGACGATGAGTCATGATGTGTCCAGCAGTAATGTGGTGAGTCGATGAGTCTTGATGCATCCAGCAGTAATGTGGTAAGACGTTGAGTCTTGATGTGTCCAGCAGTAATGTGGTAAGACGTTGAGTCTTGATGTGTCCAGCAGTAATGTGGTGAGACGATGAGTCTTGATGCATCCAGCAGTAATGTGGTGAGACGATGAGTCTTGATGCATCCAGCAGTAATGTGGTGAGACGATGAGTCTTGATGCATCCAGCAGTAATGTGGTGAGACGATGAGTCTTGATGCGTCCAGCAGTAATGTGGTGAGACGATGAGTCTTGATGTGTCCAGCAGTAATGTGGTGAGACGATGAGTCTTGATGTGTCCAACAGTAATGTGAGACGATGAGTCTTGATGTGTCCAACAGTAATGTGAGACGATGAGTCTTCATGCATCCAGCAGTAATGTGGTGAGATATGCAAGTTTGGTTACTCGAAAGCAGTAAATAGTTTGGCGTCTAAATTGAAATATGCTTTGCTGTTAATTGTTAAGACATGAATTCCATTGTAGTTATCCATTTTATAATTAGTGTATTCAGTGTGGTAAATCATTGTGATAATTTTTTTCAGACTGAAACAAATTGGCAGACTACTCCAAGACAATGACTAAGAGCAACTACTGAAAACTGGCAGCAATATCATGACTGGTCTTCTGGGAGCCACTCCGCTGCAGAAAGCTACTCTCCTGCTCACAGCTCTGTGCACTCGGCTGATCTTCATGTCTCGGCGCGCGTCCATGGTCCATCGGACCGGGCGAATTCCTCAGCCTCCCTCGATGCACCTAGTTGCGCCGATTCTGTGAATGATCATCCAATAGAAATTTCACATTGTGCGGCAACACACAATTCGACTCAATTACAATCCCAACCTTCAGCTGTGATCCATGCTTCCTCGGCTGTCAGCCTTTCTCATGATGAAAGGTATTGCCAAATGTCAAAATGTGCATTTCCCAAATCTGGAAGTTATTCCAATTCACGTGTAGCGGCTACAGAACTTAGCACCTGTGAAAATGTTCATTCTACGCTTACGAATTTAAACCAGGATATTGCTGCTAGTTGTGGAGAGGCTTTTCGCCACTGTGTTGATTCTCCTACATATCACGACTCAGATCGTGCAGCATCTAAGTATCAAATTAATGCGGATAGTCACTGTGCTACATCTACCGCTCCATGCAGTGCTTCAGACTCTGGTTCCAAAAGTGAAGAATTGCTCACTCCACAAACTGAAACCCCGGATCCAGTTGGTGCTGAGGCTGATGGCAGAGGTTTGGCTAGGGTTTCCGGGAGTTATGATGAAAATGCTGACCACGTTTTGGAATCGTCCTCAGCTCTCTCGGTATGCTCCGGACTAGGTGGGAAATGCGTCTCTCTTCAAGCCAGCGAAGAAGAAAATGCCTTCATGGCTGTATTCTGTTGTCAGACCGGCAGTTGTGTACAAAGTTATTCATTTCGTACAGTTATGTGCGAATGTAATGTTAACATTAGCGATCACTTTAATTTCTCTTTTTCTAAGTTTAGATTGAGTTGTGATAGCAATAACAGCCCTAGATGCTGTATTCAGGATATAAGTGCATCTTTTGATACGGATGAAGAAACTAGGCAAAATGCATATAAAGAAGCTCCTGTTGCCTCCCGCTCCTTTGACCTCTTGACTTGCAACACTCCAGATGGACTTGATTCGTCTGTTGATAACTTGAAATCTCTCAATTCTAGTTCATCATTAAGTGAAGACATTTTGGGTCTTTCTGTTGCTACGTCAAGTGGATCGTTGAGTGATGATGTCGGTGATAACGTAAAGAGTTGTAATGTAGATGTGTCTCCTGCTGATCCAACACCTTGTTCCCAAACGCACGAAAAGTATTTATGGGATATGGTTGATATCCACGAAAACTGGGAACCTCCCCACAGCAGCTTTCTAGATTCTAAGTGTTCAGATAAGCATGAGCATCATTCTTCAGTTGCCTTCGCGGCTACAAATAAAATGACAAACAAGCGACCAAGTCCATTGAATTTGTGCTCCACATCTCCATTGTTGGCCTTACGCTATTTGAAGCCGGCATCATGTGAACACATCACGGATTCAAAAAACTCGCTAACATTAGAAAGCAGTTCTTGCACAAACCTCCCAGCAGAAGAGCAACGTCATGGCATTGCCGAGGTAGAAGATTTGCTGAACCTAAGTGAAAGCATTCTAGACGAGACGTTAGAATGTCCGATTGATGGTAGGGACCTTGACCGTGAAAAGAGTTTGGAGCCTGTTCGGGTGGAAGCCGCACTCAATCATAATTTTCGGTCAATATCTTCATCGTGCGGGGAATACCCGTACAGCTTCAAGTACCAAGATTTCTGTGGTCACTCATTTCTCGATTTTGGCGAAGAAGAAGAGAGTTCTGACTGCATGCCGTTTCCAGGTGATCGTCATCACTTGCTGTACAATGATACACGCGACTGTCAACTGAGTGCAGATGGACTAGAAACATCCGTCTTGAAGTGTTCGTTCAATTCTAGTGATGATGATGCCGAGGACGAAGCAGATGTGGAATGGGGCGGTGAAGAATCACACGAGCTCAATCGTCTCACTGATGTAGGAAGTCGTTACTTCGCTGAAAGCTTCACCCCGCGAGGCTTCGGCTGGCGGAGCGTTGGGCATGATAGTGAGCCCTCGCTTGACGAGTCCAAGAAGTGGGAGCTTTATTCTCGTTGGGTTGATGAAGGAACCCCGGCGACTTATTGTGGTGTAACCTCCTCTTCAGCCGTTCAATCTTCGCCCACAGAGCCCTATTTTTGTTCGGAAATTCCTGCTATTCGAGGTACTTATGCTGATTTTGAAGACTCGGAAGGAATAAATTTTTCCAGAAGATCTAACTTAGTCCAAAGTCCCCTTACTAAAAGTTATCGGAATCGTCGTTCCAATAATGAATCCAATCAATACTGCACAGAAAACAGCTTCTGTTTGAGTAACACCTCAACAAGTTCTCCAACGGGACCAAGCCCTTTCCATTTTCGAAATGATGATGTGGTGACTAACGAAATCAACGATGATGGTTCTCGTTCTTTAACCAACTGTTCGAATGTTAATGCCTTTATGATATCAGAAGCGAGTATGAGCTCGACTCCTCCCTCTTCAAGTTCTTCCTTTGAATGCCAATTTAGAAACGACACAGGCAAATTTCCCTTTGATTGTACATTCGAATCTTCTCAAGACATTTTTGTTAGTTCGTTGTCCTGTGAGTTTGACGAGACTCTAGACCGTGGCTACGAGTCGGATATTTGCATGCCTGATGTAAATTCAACATCGCATGAGAAACCTGACGATTCATTAGAAATTTCTACTCTGACATCGGTGATCACTCCACCAACGCTTGCAGTGACCTTAGATGAATCGCCCAACTGTGAAGATGTGACTACAGGCATAGAATCTGAATCCAGCGCATTTCTAAAGCCGTCGCTTGATGTCGGGAGTAAAGGTGAAGAAGGTGTAAACGAAGTACCGGTATATGGTTTTGAGAGGCAGGCTCATTCATGTGCGCAATTCTCTCATTGGGAGGAAGACGAATGTGATTCTGACGTTCCTTCAAATGATGAAATACACTCGCTTCCTTCAAGAAACTGTCTCATCTCGACATCTAAGTGTACAGATTCTGATGTTAATGTAAGCTCTTCTAACGGGCATGATACAAACTCTCAAGTTCGCGGGACGTCTTTCAACAAAAATCAGTCAAATGAATCTCCACTAAGTTTGCAGCCTCGTTCATCCTCAATTTTTGCTCATTCCAATCTTGGTAGTGCTGCTGTTCGTTATCGTTCGTCATATTCTATGGCTCAAAGTAGGTGTGTTCAGTTTTACCTTACCTCGTCTCTGTTCCCTGCAAGTGGACCCTACCCAAGGTACCGAGTTTCAACTCCAAAACCAGGCAACTACGCCATATCCGAAATGCTATTACCCGTGCCGTCTTCGGTATTGCCTTCATGCTTATTTTCTATTGATAAAACTTTGCCAGCATCATGGTTGAGTGCCTCTTCCCGTCTCATGCCTGTTTCGCTTTCGGCTCAGTCGTCCTCTCATGCCACGTTTTCGCCACTCCGTCTAGCAGCCGTTGAGGAAAAATCGCATTCCCAGGTTGATGGCGGGAAGCCCTGCCGGGATCCAGTTGCAGATGTTCCTTCCTCTTTCTTTAGCTCCAGAACCTATGTAGTAGCATCAAATCCTGGTGACGGTGGTGGCACAACAGGAAAGATATCCAAGCCCGTTTCATTATACAACGAACCTACTATTTCAAACTCTCGATCATCTTTACACCTGCTTTCTTCTCTTGTAAGGCCATCATCCAAAGCATCAGGACAGTCATCGAGGAACTCTTCTAATACCGGAATTGCGCCTGTTATGTCCATAGCTAATTCCGTTACAAATTCGTATAATCCATTCGTTTCTGAAAACGTATGCTGCATTCGGACTTCCGTCACTTCTTATCTTGGCGATTACTCTGATGACAGTGCTGGATGTACATTAAATCATTCCCTTGCCAAGAGTGATGGTTGTAGCGGGGCTTGTACGGTTTCAACTCCGAGTTCTTGTTCATTACCATCTGTCATGTCCGCGTCATCCGCCACTAGTAATTCATCTCGGAATTACCCATCAGCCACACATACTACTTCATATGAAGAAAATAATCCTATAATCTCATCGCTAGCATTTTCGTTAGGATCTTCAAACTCTTTTTCTGTTCCTACTTCGTCGACAAATTTATCCTCCTCCTGTCCGGATTCCTTCTTGTCGACTATTAATCGTAATTCTTGCCGTTATCTCGCGTCACCGCACGTTTCGTGTCGAGCTGTGGACACTCGTTTTTCCGTGTCAGGACCAGGCAGTTTATCATCATTCGTCGAATATTCATCTACGAATGTCGCGACAACTAGCATTTCTATAATCAAGGCTTCTGTATCATCCCCGTTGGTAGCGACCGCAGCGGTTTGAATTTTCATTGCTGGTTGGATTGACGTTTTCTTTGTTTGAAATCTGCATGCAAGTAGTGCGTGGGATGCCAACTGAGGAAATTTTGTAGCTCGTTATTATATTCTCGATACTCTCAGTAACCATGCTTTGTGTATCGATGCTCATTTTTTATCTTGTCGGTCCATTTCCTAAGTGCGCAAGAAATATGTATTCGCTATAGAACTTGAGTTGAAAGTCATGAAATTTAGCCTTTCGTTCCTTTTTCTTCGTATAATTCTCGTTCCTGCAACGTGAGTTCCTCATAGCAGTTTGTGAAGGTTTACCGTGCAATACAGACGCACTGCTCGGCTAGACTCGTGTCCTTGATGTGCGTGGTATTGTCGTTAGACTGAGTACGATCTGTTGGCAATTTTTCATCTCGGTGTCTCAGAAAATAACATTTTAATTATTTAAAATATATACCCGTTTCCAAATTAGAAAACCCCACTTCATATTGTATTTTTATCTTTCCTTTATTCGTAAAAATGAAATAAAAAATGTTAGCTAAAATTATACCTAGTGTTTTACTCTTTGGCAATAATGGAAACGCTGTAAATATGGCTTATTTGTTGAGAAAAAATCCTACATTTACCCCTTAGTACTAGTGCTATCAATGTGATGCGCTAGGAATTCCTTTCGTTAATTTGAGAGATCTAGTGTAATTCTTGTAGATTGGAAAAGCCTATAGCAGTGGCTCGTATTGCCGACTGCTTCCTCAACGTGACGATACTCCACGGAATTTCAAAGACGTTATAATTCCTTAGCGGATTTTTTTCTATTGCTGCATGAGCTGCTGCGTATTGATCTCAAAATTTTGCGTACTAATCATGATTATTGTCCTGCCGTGGCTACCATCCATCTGGATTAGAATTTGGTCAATGCCTTTCATCTTCGATCCACCATCCATTTTTCCCCCTGTTTCATCGCATCATATTTAATATGGTATCTTTGTTTTTGTATCTCTGTAGGTCGCCCAACATGATTATCGTGCCAATTAACTGGAAAAGATTCAGCCGGCGACGAATCTGATTTATTTCTCGACTGCTCAATACCCACATCCCTTGTCCAGCGGGCTTCACAGTGTGTACCTTCCCATTCAGCAACGCGTTTCCTTTCACTCTCTAATTTGTATCTCATATTTGTATTAAACAAGCTAACTCTATTTAGGGATGTAGAGTTCAGGCATGATTTCACATGAACATACAGACGCATGAATTTCGGGAATTCATACAACGCTTTCTATTTCTCGACATAGGAGTCGCTCACTCGTCGCTGATCGCAATTCACCGAGATTCTCTTATCAAAGAAGACGAGACAAGACAAGCCCGAGTTCAGATTTTGTCAGTGAAGTCGTTTACCATGTACATTGTGTATATAAAGCATGAGCTTGCTTTGTGCTAGCGAGCATCTTTATCAAAGCCATCTGTACCAATGGTACCGTAATATTATTAATAAATATAACAATTACGAAGCTGCAGTAATGAGCTCACACTTGCAAGATATTGTATGGGACTTGTTGGGTGAGGTGCGGGAGCCTTCATGTCTCGTATCTTTTCGAGTAACCTCACGTCGAGCGGCATTGTACACCGGAGTGTTTCTATTAGGGTGACATATAGTGTCTTCATTTTTTTTCATGCTGCATTTTTATTTGTCGCGTAATTAATTGAAATAAGATAATCCATAACGCATTTCTAATTTGTCTGACAAGCGGTTTCTATATTCACTTTTGCCACTATAACTTCTCTCAACCTAACGTTTTGACTAATAAGGTCCAGAATGTGAAAAAGTCGTTATGCCAGGATTATTACACCCATATTTAGTTCAATGTTGCTCCTTACACAAGTCTTTAATTTGATTATATATATTTTTTTTCAATTTGAGTTTTGCCAGTTTCATCATAGCAAGGTTACTTGAGTCTTTGAAAAAGAGTTGAACCCGTTGCTTCTCCTTGGGTGTTGAAAGTCCTACGTTGATATTACATGCTTCTTCCTGGCAAACTTCAATGGAAATTTTTACAACGAAAATTTATTATCTATCTCACGAATTCATGGTGAATTTAAGTTAAATAGAGACGTCAATCCTTTTCCCCGAGTGCCTTGATCTTAGCATCGGCCGGGAACATTTGCTAGTTTTGTGCTTCACGAAAGACGTTTCTTATTTTTCTATTCATTAATATGATTGATGTGAATCACTCCCTTTCTTTTATTTATATTTCCCTTCATTTTTCAATGTGTCAGTACATACTGAAATTTTGTCATTTCATTGGGATACCGAGCTTCAAATTCCTCATGCCTCCAGACGTGAACTTTTAATCGTGTGAATGTGTTCGATGCCTTCATGATGTATCTTTAATTGTGAGTTTCAATAAAAGAAAATTTGATGTACCAGCACGTCTTTGTAAATCCTTTTAATGTCCGAGTACGAACCCTGTAACCTTAACTGTTCTCAACGCCTGACTACTTTATTGCTTATCAAAATGCAGCCTCACATTGAGTTCCTTGGTTCTCAGAACTATTAATTAATGCAGGTCGCGAGGAATGCTCCTACCATGCTCGGGCGTGTGCCAGCATTCGGTCAAAACAAGTGAATTTATACGGTATTTTATTTGCATTTAAATTCTGAATGAATTTTCGATTTATGTAGAAAAATGATAAAAGTTATTGGCCTGTAATGAAATGCTCGTAAGGCCATTAAGTGACTTAGAAGCATCGTCCCGTCGTTAGTCGGAGAAGCCGATAACAAATTCTTCAATAACTTCCACTTATTTGGACCATGACTTATACAAGGTCCCAGAAGGATTACTAGAATTTGAAACAAGAACCAACACCAGGGGCCACGGCTATAAACTAAAAAACTGCATTATAACACATCCATGCGACAACATTTCTTCTCTCTTCGTGTCACCGACATGTGAACAGCCTCCCTGATTGCATCGTTGACGCTACTAGTATGAATGCCTTCAAGAACAGACTGGACAAAGCTATGCATGAGCATATGTTCAGTCTTGAAATGCCTAGTACCTCTCGGTCCTGGCAATAAGTTCTGCAGCTATCTCAAACTATCGTCAGTTGTGGAAAGATCAGCTTCAAAAGGCCGGATCCCTAGTGGAATCAAGTCAGGTCAAGTACAAGAATCGGTAACTGGCCATGGGTCCATTTGTTCAGTGCCTAAACTTCTAAATTTTATTCTATTTTAAATTGCAAGAGAGCTACCAAACTCAGTTTCAACAAATACACCCCGTTTCAATGCAGGATCTTCAACGTAATTGCAAAATTGTTTTTCAGAATTAGTGCGTCATCACAGTTTCTATTATCATTCGAAAGTGCCATGAACTTGGAATAATATATTAGTGTTATTATCAGATTTTTCATACACAATATCAGCATTCGATTGCATTGTTGAGTTTATTATACCTGAGGAGCTACTGCATTTCGTGTGCCTTCAACGCGAAGATCGGAAACCCTGACGAACAAGGACATATTGTGTCAGGATCACATCGGGATATGAAGTGAAATCCTGTTACAATCCATGATGAGGGCTATAAAATTCCCGCCTTCTCAAAAAGATAACAACTGCATATGTTTGTTACACATTCCTGTGACTATTATTATCTCGCGCAGTAAACAGCTGATCATAATTTTTTCGTTAATGATTCATTTTTAAATGTGGGATTTTTTTTATTTATATAATTCGGTAATCGCAAGCAATCAAGCATGGATATTATTCCGAACAAAATTGAAATGTCAGCATGGATATTATTCCGAACAAAATTGAAATGAAATTATTATTCCGAACAAAATTGAAATGTCAGTAACAGTTGGATTGGTTTCTAAACGAAGAAAGAAAAAAATCTTGTGAGTACATAATCTACCAAAAACCAAACTTAGAGCATCTATCATGAATATCTGATGAATGACCTAACGTTCCAAAGATCTTTGACCATTCATACCTGCATCCGCTAAAGTAACGTTCATAGACCCTGAGTGCGTTACTGAGCGAAACATTACGTATCCTTTGGTTACACGCTATGGGTTGGTTCCTGGCTTCACAGTCTTCACTCTTCAGACCATGTCGAGCAGTAGGGAAGTGAGTGTTGTGCAGTTGGTTAGCTCCACTTTTACCGGTGAATGAACATCTCAATATGCTAATTACGTTACATTGACTTTATGAATAGCCCGTTAATTAAAAACACGCATATATACTATCAAACTGGTGGTGACTTTTTTTCATGTATTCGTAAACAACTGAGTTGTGCAGCTGCAACGGACGCGGAGCTTCACCGAAAGACTGAAGTCAGAATTGAATGTCTTCAGATGGTGAGCAATTGGTTTTTAGTCCTAAGTTACTCAAATATTGTTGTGCTTCTAATAGCATCAACTGTATGATAGTGTTTGTGATAATATTGAGAGCTAAGGTGTGTTTCCTTGCGCGTCTGTCCCAGCTAACATATTCTCTATTTAGAAATCGTTCCCAGATCAGACACTCTGTCATGATTGAGACTTGGAAGACGGATGCATGTGGTTTCATTTGATGATTTGCAGCTCGCAAAGAAATGTAAGAATTTTAGTATCACATTTGCTAGGAACTACGACTTGAAAGGATGTTCAGGGATTCCGACACGCACCAGTTCGTGATTTGCCTTTGACCGACAACTGATAGATGATAGTTGACAAGCTAACCACGGACAAACCACGAACCATGACGAAACGCTGGCTCCTCATAGAGGCTCACACCATCGCTCGTCTCATACTTTCTTGGGGAACTACAGTATTGGACTTCCCAATGACGATGATGATGCTGCGAAACGTAAAAAATGTTGAATTTTATTTCAAACTACAATATTCAACAATTTCAACGAATTTTTGATATGTCCCAACATGTAGCTACGTACATCGTACGATGACTGAAGACCTTTTTTTCGTCAGAAAGCACCCTGTAGGTTGTGATGGCCCAACACCGTGAAAGTTATTTTATTTTTATTTTTAATGCAACAATTTTTTAATACGTACCTGTTTTAATTTCTTTTTTTTTTAACATCAGTTAATAATTCAATATCCATTTAAAGTGCTGTGAAGTTTCTTTAAATCATATTGATTGTCTGGTGGCGTGGGATACTCTAGTCTCAAATTGGCCGTAACTTTCTACTTACTGGCTGTGAAGGTCCTAGTTTGTTTATTATTGCTCTTTTGGGTTGAAACAACACAATTCCGAATATATTTTATACCATTTACACCGCTTTAAAATGAATAGCTTCTGAACCTCCAATCATAGGTACTATGTATTGTCTGTATATGTATGACCTAAAATATCTTGTTTAATTGATTGCATTCTGTTGAATAACAATTATGTCTCATCGTCCTGTGTCTTAACTTAACGTAATCTACTTTGACTGAAACTTATAATTATGCTACTTTAAATTTACACGGCGTTTTTGTTATTAGATCCCCAAATTAATAGTTTTCAACTACCCTGTTGAGTCCGAATTTACTGATTGCTACAGATGCTACTAATATGACGCATTCGTTCATAAATCCGTATATACAGATTCTTCCTACTATTGCTAATCGTTATTCGAAAGTGGTTTAATTAGCGATCTCTGACGAGCCTTCGTTTAGGTTCGAAACATCATGAGCAATTTTTTTATTTAAGGTGTACCAACGACTACTGCAACATCTTCCTAGATTGCACGTAATCCGAGTCTTGTAAGGTGGCAAAAAAATCAGTATAATATTTAGCTTATGAAGTTTACACAGACTAGAATAATTGTACCTAGTTTAAATGTTTATAAATATATAGTATTCAATTTATTTCGTACGTCCATTCATTGTAATAGCTTGTAATAGCTTACATAATTTATTATTTTTAAATTTAGTTCTTAACTAAAACGAGTTTACAGAATACTATCGATCGATCGATAGTATCGATCGACCCACGTATCGTAGGTCGATTGGCCGTTCGGTTTCGCTTTTTGAAATCAGTGCGTTATTACCTGGAACGAATGTCAACATTGTGAAATGATGAATAAACAGCTCTCATTCATTTTTAGTTATTAGTATTGTTTTTATTATTAAAATGATAAAAATAATGCGAAAGATGAAGAATTTGAAATAAGTTTCACAGCAAATAAACTTAGTGAATTTCCGGCATAATATATTTTGTGTATCATTTCGTGGTGGATCGTTATATAGCTCACGATAATTCATCATAGTCAATACTAAAGTAACTACAAAGCAATAATTATTGCGTTCAAAAATGCTAGAAATATTAATATGTTTCGTGTTTACTATTGCCTTGTTTTGAGGGATTCGAAACGAGCATTTTTCGTACTCTAAACGCTCCCTCTTCAATTCATGCAAGCAACAATGTATCAATTCAACTCTTGTATCAATTGTAATCAACAATATGTTGGCATCAGTACCTTAGATTTTGCAACTTATTTGTCATATTATTTTAAGGTCGTGAGTTATAAAATATAGTAAACATCGCAGTTCTTAGTGCATAATTTTATCTTTCTTCAATCGCATGCATTTCAATAAAATTTTTCTGACTTTCAGTATTGTTCATCTTTTGGTATATATGAACGTTACAAATTGTACCATTTCTTGATAATATTTTTTTTCTTTCTAGTTTACGTCCGTCAGCTTACCTTTCACTTTCTATTTACATTTCACGAAGCAAGAATTTCAAGCGACTTCGTCATGCTGCACTTCAGTCTCGGAAATAAGATTATTTGTTGTTTTCAAGTGAGTTTGACGGTGACTTCCTCCAGCTGCAAACAACGTGTCTTGTTAAACACGTTTTAGCCATTTTCGCGATAGAACAGCGTCTTTGCTCGGTTGTTTTTACAATATTCAGACCATATATGTACGATTATACATGTACGACCTACATCCGAAACCTATTGAATTGAAATTGCTGTTGTTAAAAAATTTTCGTGCATGTGCTGATTTATTTTAAATTATTGATTTAAGACTTCACTATCATTCGGCAAATTTTAATTTTTAATTTCAACATTTTACTCTTCTGACCCATTTCAATTCTTTTAACTACTTATTTCAGTCTCATCAAAGTTCAAACTCATTCTAACTTGAAAACTCTTTTTACTTTTTTCTCACCAAACTCGTTTAAATTTGTAAATTCTATAATTTGATCTCATGGATTTCAGAAGGTACGAGTATATATAGATGAATATAAACGATGAAGATAAACAGATAAACGGTCAGTAGTGTTGAGGTCAGCGTTCCTGGGGCATGAGCTATACAGGCATGAGTCATGGAGTGAGAAGTTTACAAGAGAGGTATTTCTTCTGCTAACATTAGGCATGAAATCAGCAATTATGTAGCATGATGTCAACTTACTCGTATATAGTCGGTGTATAGTTAAAGAGGTATGAGGTCAGCATATTGTCCTCACAAGGATGAGGTCAGCATATTGTCCTCACAAGGATGAGGTCAGCATATTGTCCTCACAAGTATGAGGTCATCACAGGTCAATGGGCCTTTACTCACGATATTCTATTAACGTAGGACGAAATATTAAGCTAGACTTCATAAGAGAAGATTTTGACCGACTTGTAACATCAAGTCCATGTGAAGTCATGAGGAAAGAGTTCAGCAGTCTTGCAATATGAGGTGAGGTCAGTTATGAGGTCAAGAGAGGTCAAGAGAGGTCAATACACCTTGATTGTGAGGTCAATCAAGAGGTGTAATCTCGAGGTCATGAGAGATGAGGTCAGCTTCGCCTTCTCATGTGACCTCCGTAAGGGTGTGCCTTAATTAGCCCCAGACCTCGTGCATCACCTCTTTATTAATTAATAACTAATAGCTGCTAATTCAAATTTTAGCTCCCTTCATGGAAAGGTACAAACTATTCACTATATTATTGACTCATCACTTATTCCGAAGCAATTTTTCTCTTTACGCCCATCTGGATATTCACTGATTATTCTTATTTTTATTACTTCATATTTACAATTAACGTTCAATTTTAGTTGAAGGTATTTTTTTGCATTTTTAATAATTTGTTATATTGGGAATTTCTGCAGCTTTGTATCGAAGTTTTTTTTAGTTATTCATAGTGCATGCAGTTGTCGTACTGTGTTGGTGCTCAGCTTACTTACATCATCGCTGCTCTGTTCTTTTCGACTGGACTAGCAGGTATACGAGTGTGTTCTATATAGTGTGTTGCTCGTATATAGTGGGTGGTTCATACTTGTTTATACATTGTCATCTTCATCGTTTTTAACACACCCTTTTTGACCTTTCGGTGACTGCAAGGGCATCAGGCCAACCTATAAAACTCTATCTCTATCTTGGTACGTTTTCTGCTGTTCTAAATTATTCCTGTCTTATCATATCAAATTCCATGGTTGAAACTTCATATTATACTTCTTCATGTCCGCTTATTTCTTCTTTATCTTGAACTTTACTCTAAATTTATCTACGTAAATTTTAGGAAGATTTAATTGAATGACTAATCGTATTGATTCAGACTGCCTGTAATAATATTCATTGACATATTTAAAGAAAAAGTGCGTAATCACTGTCTTCGAAATTTCATAAAAAATCTAGCAACCAATTTTAATGTCGATACAACTCTAGCTTATGTTTGCATTGCAATACAATGAATGTCATGCAGGGAAATCGACTTTTTGATGAAACATACGGAGAAAAATAAATTCGAAGTTTTTTCGTGAACGTATCTGCGCTTGGCATTTTGCGTCCGTGAAGCTCTCGACCTTCCGCCCTGCGCGTTACCATATCGCCTCCGCGTATCTGCGACCACATACCAGAGCGGCATTTTGCCTGCTCCCATTTTAACGTCCTTGTTTCTAACATTCTTGCAGCGTGTTATATTGTGCTCCTGTTCTCTCGTAATCTGCATGTGCCTTGATAAAACATAATTACGTCTAAGCATCTATATCAAGGTCTAAGCTTCTATCGTCTATATTACGTTTAAGCTTCTATATAGTCTTTCTATATCGTAATGTATTCTATATTACGTCTAAGCTTCTATCGTCTATAAGATGCATTACCTCGAGGGAATTACGATAGGAGATTTTGTTGTAGTAAAGGTAGCTTAATTTTTCATTGATTTACGGAAAATTCTTTTTTCGGTTATCGCTCAGAGGCCGCGTTTACGAAACGCATATGTATGCCGAAGTAATTATCTTTTACTTAACTTCAATTCCGCCACTACCTACAAAATTTAAATCTTACTGTCTGCATTAGAAAAGAAAGTTTTCAACACTATTTTCATCAGAATGAAAGTATTAACTAATCAATACAAGTATAACCACCTCGACTGACTTCATGTACTGCGCATTTCCAGGCTTTACTAATGAATTGATCAATAAACAAATAGAGACAGCTTAATGGCATCAGTTATACATAATTGTGAGCGCGGCAGGGACAGTGAGAGCCTCGCACATCATCGGTGTCACCTGAACACCTGGCTAATGACTCGGCGCTGATACACGCGTGTTGTAACTCATGTTGTGGTGGTGCTGTGGTGGTGGTGCTGTTGTGGTGGTGCTGTTGTGGTGATGCTGTTGTGGTGTTGCTGTTGTGGTGTTGTTGTGATGTTGCTGTTGTGGTGGTGCTGTTGTGGTGGTGCTGTTGTGGTGGTGCTGTTGTGGTGGTGCTGTTGTGGTGTTGCTGTTGTGGTGTTGCTGTTGTGGTGTTGCTGTTGTGATGTTGATGTTGTGGTGTTGCTGTTGTGATGTTGCAGTTGTGGTGTTGCTGTTGTGGTGGTGCTGTTGTGGTTTCGCTGTTGTGATGTTGCTGTTGTGGTGGTGCTGTTGTGGTGTTGCTGTTGTGGTGGTGCTGTTGTGGTGGTGTTGTTGTGGTTTCGCTGTTGTGATGTTGCTGTTGTGGTGGTGCTGTTGTGGTGGTGCTGTTGTGGTGTTGCTGTGGTGATGTTGATGTTGTGGTGCTGATGTTGTCGCGTTACTGCTGTGGCGTTCGTGTTAATGCATGGTGTTGCTGTTGTGGCGTTCGTTTTAATTGTGTTGCTGTGATTACTGTGTGCCATTGTAACCCGCATTTTTTGTTGTGGTGTGAGCCACTGCATGGTACTGTTGCTCCTGCTATTTACTATTGTAATATTGTTCTTAATTGTGCTGCTGTTATAGTATTACTGTAACCCGCTGTTCCTGACGGAACTGCAACGGATCAACGTTTCTGGTAAAAGTTGGCGATTTGAGTGATGTATACTGATTTTCAACTTCGATTACGTTCGGATTTCCCCTTTTTCCGTACCTACTAGAGATTTTTGTTAACTTAGGATGTAACTTGAATTTTACAATTTAGTAATAAATGTACGTTTTCAATATCGAGATGGTGAATTTGCTTGGCGTTTTCTTTGCTTTTAAATTCCTAGTGAACTTGCGATACAAGCAGACTAATAATATAAGAACCATCTTTCTGTACGATTTTTGCCGTAACCTATTTCATACGAAAACTTATATACCGTACACGAATACTCAAAATAAAGCCTAAGACGCTACAGATGCAACCTGAATAAATTAAAGCAATTGCCGATCAATAATAAAACAATGAAACAAGAAACACATTCAAATCGTTTTAAATTTTCAAAACCTATTCAATTGTAGTTCTTCCGTTGCTATAACTACTACTGTTGGAGTGGTTATATTATTTGCATCGACGGCTGCTGCATTGTAATCGGTTGCTGTTACTTTAGTTATGGTGCAGATTTATCCTGTATTCTATTGATATCACTGCTACTGCAATCATTGGGTATGTGTTGATGTATTTCGGGAAAGCTGCTGCTCTATAGTATGTATTAGGCTCTACTCAGCCTGATATGCACCATAAATGGAGAAGTTCGTAATTAAGTTCGTCTCTGTAGGTACTATATCAGCCCTTTTCAGCTGTCACTTTTTATTTAATACTTCATTTACCGACACTGATTAATAATTTCATTATGTCTGCATCTCAAATCTATGTTAGATGGAGTTTTCAATATTATTCAATTTTAAATTTTTTGCATTTCATACGGTACTGGTACTGTTTTGCATCGTGTGTCTTCAAACACATTTTAATCTGCGCAGAACATATTCATTCTTCTTATTATTTGAACTTAAGTGCTCAACGGTATGCTCGTTATTGTCTTACGAATGAAAATGGTCAATTTATATGCGTATGCTTTTTCTCCCTAAACTACGGCAGTAAAGACTTTTTGTTTGCTTAAATATTTTTGTGATTAAGTTGATTGACAATTGAATAATTTCCCACAGCTCTCAAATATATGTAGACAGAAAAAGAACGTTATATGTTCATTCTAACGATCTTTTTAATATTTGTTCCATTATTTCCATCAAGCTAACTTTAATCTTATCTTTCAGGTACGGATCGGTATGCCGGCGCGCGACCCTCCGACTCGATCGATCTCCAACACCCACGGCGATCTCCGACTTCTGTCATCGCAACCTCTCATTTTCCAAAATCCGGCGAAAACATTTATCTGAGATTCAATTTTAGTCCTGTATTGCCTTCAGGGGTTTCTTCGTCAGAATAACTACTGGCTCATTCGTCACATCTTACTTTTGAAGTATATTTACCTTTGGGCGAAAAAGGCAAGAATCTCCGCGTATACCATATGTCTACCTTGGTCCGAAATAGTCACTGAATAGCCGCTTTCATCTGCCACCAAAAACTTTCAGTGATACGCCCAGGCATTCTAAATTAATCTCCGGGATCACAACAGATATTTATTGCAACGAATATTCATTTCGAGCGAGCAAAGATGTGTGATGAAATCGTTGAGTATACGACAACCACCTCAACTACAGTGTCTGGACTAGAAAGCGTTCAAGAAGCTGTACTAACGTCCACCATGTCGGTTAAGTACCAACTTCCTCTCGCATCTCTTCAGCCTGTCACGAGCACGGTGTTCCGGCGAGATTCTGGATCCCAAAGCCTGCCTTACCAATCCGAAGCTCTAGCTCGCAGTCACAGCTCAAATCTGTCACATTCTACGGAGAATGTTTATGATACAAACAACCGAGCAACTGCTTTCAACTCAACAAGTCGGATTAAATTTAATCCAGATGATCCTAATCAAGGTTTTCCAAAGCCTCCCGATTTTGTAACAGTTGTATCTGTCGGGGGGACGAATCAAAATGAGGTTTCACATAATATCTTGCTTGCGGGATCAAGTCATGCCAACGAAGATTGTATCGACGGGAGACGGCTAGTTTCGCAATCATTTCATCCATCCATGAAACTTTCAAAGGAAGATGATTTTCACCATCAAGGCACCAACAGAAAACTCAATTTCGCTCCTACTCACAGTGGCGAAAATAATTCTGGGGAGAGATATGAAAAATCACACACGGATGAATGCTATTCTCCCAACCATTCATCGTCATCTAACCGACGCGAAGACTCTAATTGTGAAAAAATAATTTCGTTCTCGGAGTCCGAACAACCGTCTTTTGCTCGTATTGTTCCTCGCAATATATGCGAAAAAGTTGTAGTGCTTCGTTTACCTGGAGAGAAGCTTGGTCTTGGCCTCAAGTTCGACGGAGGATGGGGCTGCCGTGATCTGGTGCGACGTTTATTCATCGAAAGCATCGCACTGGACTCGCCAGGTTACCGTGCCTCTCTTCCTTGGGGGCAACTGTGCCCAGGGGACCAGATTTTGAACATAGAAGGCGTTCCCGTCTCTAGTATGACGAGACTGCAGTGTGTGACTGCTCTTAGAGACTCCCATGTCAGGGTCACAATTGGCGTTCTCAGGGGAGACGGAGTAGTGCCGCTCCTGGAAGATGGTCCTTCCAGTGTTAATTGTGGTCAGGGAGATCGAATTGGTTTACCTCCTCCACCCTTGCCTCCTCGTCACTTTTCTTCTAGAGACCCTGGACGTCCTCCAAAGGACGTTAGCTCGTTCAATCATTCGGCAAAGACTGAACCAATTCAGTATTTCGTACCTGATAACCCTGCACCTCCCTTGCCACCAGCCGCTTGTGTGTACATGGACTTGTTGGTTGAAGAAGAGGAACGACGAAAGCGCTGTGGCAGCGAAAGCGACGAAACTGGGAGTTCGGTCTCGACAGTTATCGACAGATTGTCTTTGACTTCGTCGACTAATGTCTCGAGGAATTCATCATTCAATGCCTCGGCTGACAATCGTTATAATCAAATAGATCTTACCTCTGCTCTTAGTCAGTTCGAAATGTTGGAACAAGAATTCGAATGTGATACGATGCCACGATCGTCCGGTCATAATTCAGCTGTAAATGAGACTTATCCTAACGCCACATCATCCAAACAGCGCCGGCATCTTGTCCGAAGTTTTAGCCTATCTCCTGGAACTTATAAAGACCACTTCAATAAAATCCAGAGAAAAAAAGACGAGTTGAGTCGTACGTCAAAACCTGCCATCAAATCGCTTTCATTTTCTTTAAAAAGGAGGCCTTTCAGTTGGACCCCATTAATTAATTCTAATTCCGCGCATAAATTAAATTCTAATGGCAGTGCAGACTTTTGTTGCGAAAGTTCAGCTTTAAAAAATAATTGCGATGAAGAGACGAAAAACGAAAATCCATCTGGAACAGGAAATCCAACCTACAATGAGCTTGACTGTATGTCCGAGGAATCAACATCAGTTGAGTCTACCATAAAAATATCCTCCGGTGAAAGAAGTTGTAGTCCTCCACCTGCTGCAGAAATTGTCGACGACGAAGAAACTTTCCGCCGAAACGTACCTTGCGACTCTTCTCCAAAAAATGACTTGAATGACCGGACTTCAGAGTTAGGATTTCGACGGAAACTTGTTTTCACGTCAAGTCACAAAAATAATCACACTCCGGATTCTTTTGAAAGTGCAAGTCCAACTCAAGTGTTTATTTCCAACGATGATTCTTTGGAAAATGAACCAATCAGTACAAAACTAGAATGTAACAGAGTGGAAGGGCCAGAAATACCCAATCATCAAATCAACGTTCTTTCGTTTTCATCTTCTGAGTTCTCATTATCTCCTCACATTGCCGAACAAGTCCAAATCGAAACTCCTGCTTCTATCTGCTATGATTTTGAGCAAGCGTCGCTGTCATCTTCCGACGCTGCTGGAGCCGTGACTGTCCAGAATATGATTGCCGATTCGCCGCTTGATAATGGGAGTCAAGTATTCTCGCCCATCACTGTCAACAATTTACATCTTCACTCTTCTAGTGCTAACAATAAAGTTTGCCAGCTAACCACTGAGAGTCATTGTGATTCGTCAGAAAAATCGATTGTTGAAGCGCAAAGGTTTGAGATGGAACATAATTCAAGTGGATATCACACTGAAAATTCCGAATTAGTGGAAACGACCAGTACGGAAGTCTGTACTGATTTCGTTCCTGATCTTTCTACGACAACATCATTACTAATCTCTTCACCGAGAGTGAATAACGAGTCGCATCTTTCGCGTAAAGGGTGTAGAATCAGTGATAGGTTTCGTGAAATCGCTGACGACTTCTATAGATCAATCGACGAACTCAATAAAACGAACGAGGAAGAAAAAATTGAACTAAAGTCAAGAAGAGATCTTGAGTTCAAAGCACGGAAGCCGCCACATCTGAATGTTCATGAGAGCCAGACTAGCATGACGACTCTCAAATCAGATGCAAGGGAAGATGAACATAAAATGTGTCAGAATACAAGAGAAGATGCTTCTGCTGCCCATGACACCCAAGAGAAAAACACAAATTCATCGAGTTCATCTTCGTTGGCAAAGCCAACATTTTCTATTGATCCTAGTAAAACAAAATCCGCCGATGCAGACCACTTGAAACTGCCTTCAAATGTCTTGAAGTATGAGGCAACTATTCAATCTGTGGCTCCAAAATCAAAATCTCCAAGAAAGTCAGAAAATTCTGGCAGTGGAGATGGAGTTTCCGTAGATTTGCATACAACAGATACTGCGTCCAATATATCGAATTCAGATCCATCAAGTAACCACACTGAGTCTCACGCCTCGTCTTCAACTCTCAATGCACCAGTTTTAACGATTGATGGAAAATTGGTTGCAGCTGCTGAAAATGGCTATGTTGCCGTCGAATGCCTCTCATCTCAGGTCTTGAGCACTGATAAAATAGTCAAATTAGATGAACAATGCAGCACTTCGGTTGAATGCTCTACCTCGCAGACCGAGACGATTTCTCCTAATCAATCCTTGAATTCCCTTGAACGAAGTCCTCCTACTTTACGGTTATCACAAGTAACTCGATCCACAAGGATCAGGGAGGACCTCTGTGACCTCATCAGAAGAGATTTGGAGCGCCTGAGGAAGGACTTGGACTTGCCTGAGGGCTTTGAGTTGCAGGTCGAGGAGGACGAGGAAGTCGAGAGGATCATGGAATGCGACTCAACGGAAGAAGCTGACAGAATCGTGGCTGCTTTCAGGAGCAACAATGACCGGTGAGTGAATGTTACCAATGGCCGTTGGAATCCAGGCTTCTGGAACATCAACTCGTAGTGTGCTTGATTTGTTTCTACAACTAACGTGGAAAATTATTGTGTGATCAACTATCAATTACGCACCAGAATAACTGTGAGCTGTGGTAAGAGAAGAATTATTGAAATTAATTAATTTGGTTTTCATTGAACATATTCTTGATCGTGCTCAGTGATACGTTGCTTATTGTCTTGTTTTTTTTCTTTCTCAAATATAACATGATGTCGTGAGAATTGCAAACGTTAGCGCTCAACACTCCATTAAAATTAACGTTAGCGCTCAACACTCAAACAAAATTTATCGAAAATATTGATCAAAATTGACGGACTTATAATTGGGACTTATAAATATCATAAATTCTCAATTAGGACTTCATGCCGCATCTTAATTTTCTTCTACCCTTTCAGATTCAGACTTCAGCCTCAAAGCCTTCCAGCCGACGCCTCTGAACGCCTTTCCTCCCCTGAAGAATCCATGGCAAGTCTTCCTGCCCTACCCACAGAAAACAAATGTCTTGCTTCATCCAAATGTCAGAAGCTTGGTCCCAATGGGCTCACCAGAAGAAATTCCTCCTTGACAAACAAAGACTTTCTACAGTTGAATTCAATTTCTTCCTTCTCAAGTTCGAAGCTCCCAAACGCCAGTTCCAGTTCTTACCATTCGAATACGAGTTCGATCTTCTCAAGCTCCCACTCAAGTCCGGCTTCTGTCGATATCGTACAACGCTTGCCTCGAGAATCGCTTCCAATGATGCACTCGCCTCGGGACCAGTATAATTCTGAAGAAGAATGGTCGTACGAGTACTACCAAGAACGCCCTTGTGGGACCATTGAAGAAGAATCAGCATCAGAGGACGGGAAAAGTGACGCACCGAATGTCCTACTGAACGCTATGCGTTCTTTGTGCCGTAGTAGGACGATTCCTAAAGATATCATCGTCTCGCCGCCCACACCTGAACCAGAATCTACATCGACTGAAAATTTGCTCGCCATTGATTTGGTAGCCAACATTGAAGAACAAAATAAAACATCAAATTTCGATCTGTCTACTCAGGTTGGGCGACACACTTCCGAGTCTGATAAAGGAGCTAAAATTGATATTCGCCCAGCTTTTGTTTCTTCTAGTGAGGCATTCTATGCAAAAGCTCCTTCGAAAGAAATTACTCAACTTCCTTGTACTACTGTTGATTTTGATTCTTCTGCTCCATCTTCTGGAGATTGCTCAAGTACTGATACTTTATTGGTCAAAAATAACATTGAAATTGGTGATAATTGTGATCTTATGAACAAACAGTCAATTTATGTCGAAACAAATTCATCTGCTGGTGCCAAAGAACAAGTTCTCTCCAAAACTGACGTGTCGGGTGAACTCAAAATTAATGAACGTAAAACTATGTTACCATCAGCATTAATTAATGCAAGTAATGAAACCACAGCAGCTAATTTGCTCGTGAACGACGATGAAGTTTACCTTGGCAGCGTTGCTAGCAAACGAAGCCTAATAGACACACGATCTCAGTGTACGGTGGGGCCGGTGAACAGCGTTCCTAAAATGATTGCTAAAATTGAACGTGACGTGCAATGTGTTCCAATTGATGAAAAAGAATCGTCAAAATCAACGAAAATCGTTGAACCTGTTAACTTGCAAAAATTTTGTACATCTAACCATGCAAACAAAGAATTTGTTATGGAGAAGAATAATTGTAAATATGTTTCAAGCGATCATGTCTCAAAGGTTGAAGATAATTCATGCACTGAAGTGTATACAGTTAACAGTATAGTTTTTAAAGAAATTTCAAGTAAATCTATGCTCAACGCCAGAGATCAAGATTACAATAGAACATTGGACAAAGAAGCGTCTGCACTGCTGTATGATGTTGGCCGTACTCAAAGCTTTCTTGAATGTCCATTAAAAGCAATAGAACAAAAATCCTCTCGCGCAAGCCAATTTAGTGTCTCTGATGGCTGCCACTCATTGCCTTCATATGATTCGAGTTCAATTTTCATGGTAAGCAACGTTACGGAAACCTCGAATGGAAGCGTGACATATTCCAGCATACCCCAAACGAAGAGAGATTTCATCAGCAGCGCTCGCAAGAAATCCTGCAGTTTGGAACATCTCCGATTTCCGGACGTGCATACCGGAGGTAGACTGGACTCCGCTTCTGACCACTCGCAGCACCGTGCCTTCAGGCGAGGTAAGACGTACAGTGCGTTCTTTTTAGCGCATTTTCTCATTTATGGAAAAAAGACCCTATTGTGCTCGTCATGTCCGTCCGTCTGTCCGTCCGTCACTTCACGTTTTCGTCGATTTTGAGAAAATGCGCCCTCTGTCACTCACTACAGTGAGTACCGAGTTATAATTTTTGGTTTATGAGTATGTTCCTCGATTATTACACTTGTCTTGATTGTTACACTTTTAGTTCTCTACAGTCACGCATTGGGGACCCAAATTTAGTACTCGTTTGCTATGAGAGAATGACATGAAGCCCCTTTCGGTTACTTCTACAAGTAAGGTTAAGACTATTTCTGTGTAATACTTGTAAGATTTGAACAAAAACAGTTCCAGAAATTTGAGATTATGATTCAATCGTTTTCCTAAGTGACTGAGCAGGTTGGGTTCTCACTAAGTTTCAGAAAAATAGCTAATTCTACCGGACGCGCACCCACCCAATTCCAATTCTGGGCACGTCTTTATAATCTTCTGCCGACTGAAAATTACTGATAGTTATTTCTCTTCTTATTTGATGTTAACATTTAGAAGTGATTGGAGAAGCCGCAGACCAAATCCGCAAAATGGCGAGATGTATTGCAAATAAGTGATGTGTTTTCCGAGGGCAACTTAGCTCATAGATGTTGACCCTAAACATTTCTTGTGGGGGAAAAATGTCCAGACCAGTACTGTTAAAAATAAATGGCGCTAAATCTCGAACGTTTGTGTGCCCAAATACTCTTCGAACAATACAATCATGGCCTTTAATTTGTTAAGTCCCTAAAGTTTTGATTGGCCCGAATTAAATTCTAGGTTTTGTTGAAACGACTTCAGTCTCATCAATTGCTTGTGCAGCAACACGAACCGTGACACTGCCAAACGTACAGTACAGGTACTCGTAGTATAATATGGATGAAACATTTGAAAATAATCTCTTATTTTGATTTAAAACTTTACGGCATGAACAACACACCTTTCCCACAACTGAGTTTTACCGAACTTCTATCACCTCAGGGAAGCGGTATTATCAGTGATTATGTACAAAATCAAGGTAGGATTACCATCCTTAGCTATGGAATCGAAGCGTTAGCTGTCTTGTTGTGTAAAAAAAACGAGGCTCTTGAAACAATTAGCATATTCGACTATTTAACAACTTAAGAACAACTTAATATTAACAACTTAACGTAACTAACTAATTAATCAACAATAATTAATGGGGGACTTTGAACTTCGTTGATGTCAGCGCATTGAGGAACCGTTGAAATGGCAAAACATTAAAATATTTTGATTGGTAGTATATTCAGCAAATTGTTAAGTGGGCGAATTTCACCGCGTACCGATCAGTAGCGTTGCCATCGTACGCTATTCATTCGTTGTTCACTTTTCCTCTTCAACGAGTTTCAACTCTACATTTCTGGAATTCTTTAAACTTAATATTTAAAATGCCAATATACTGAAATGTCTCATTATATGAACAGTTTTTTTGTTTGTTAATAAAATAATATTCATTTGGTTTCGCTAAAGTTGTGTATTGTATTGATACAAATTCAAATAATTACTGCGCACCGAAATTTATCTTACGATTCTTGACTCTTATTAAATATCGTGTTTTTCAGTATTGATGCACTGCCAATGTCGATTGTTAGTCTTCGGAACGAATTTTCGAGTTTATGAATGACTTCGATTTTCGATCTTGTGTGTGCGGACTAGACTTTTTAGGTATTTCACCGGTTTTTCGGAATGCTGCGTTTTCTAAGTGTGTCGGCTGGATTTTCGGGGTGTGTCGGCTGGATTTTCAGGGTGTGTCGGTTGAATTTCGGAGTATGTCGGCGGGGTTTTCTGGATGTTTCGGCTGGGTTTTCAGGGTGTATCGACAGTAGTTTACTGGGTGTGTCTGCGGGGTTTTCTGGGTGTGTTAGCTGGATTTTCGGGGTATGTCGGCTGGATTTTCTGAATGTGTCAGCTGGGTTTCTGGGTATGTATCCTGGGTTGTCTGGATGTGTCGGTTGGGTTTTCTCGGTTTGTTGGCGGGGTTCTCTGTGTGTATCGGCGGTGTTTACTAGGGTGCCGGCTTGGGTTTCTGGGTGTGTCGGCTGGGTAGTCTGGGTGTGTCGGCTGGGTAGTCTGGGTGTGTCGGCTGGGTAGTCTGGGTGTGGCGGCTGGGTAGTCTGGGTAAGCAGGGAATATAGATAAAAGTAACTGAAGAATGGGACGTGAAGATGAATTAAATATGGGATTAAATAATGGTAAGAAATGAATTTTGTATCCAAATCTTGAACATCAATAATTAGCAAATGGGTCCACAATAAAAACGAAGCTATAGAATATATTCTAATATTAGACATGAGGGAGGGAGTACATGGAATGAGCAAGGAGGGGTAGTTTCTTGAATGGATGTCTGCGCCGGCAACTTTTTTCACCTTGTAAAAATGAAACATTTTCTTACAAAGAAAAATTGAATTTCTTGCCTCTAATTGAAGGCTATGTGAACTTGAATGTATCTATGATACATTCGTATACAATTATCGACGTCACTATTGGACGTATACTTTGATACGGCGATTAAATATAAGCTTATACAAGGGATTCCTCCGCTTATCGTGAAGAGGCACATAATTTGTATGTTGTCTGAGAAATTTGTGTATTGTATTGTGCTATGTACTATAGTATACCTTTTCTATGTTCGATGTATTAGACTTCGATTTAATTTCAAATTCATCCGTATTGAACGATTGTGAAAAATTTAAATGAGGTTCAACTTTTATGCGGTCTAAAAATGTCTAATATTTTACGAATAATTTCCCTGGTAATTAAGGACTCGACTTATGTATTCTTGAGAATGTTTTCTTCTTATGCTAGGATTGCATTCGTGACGCGCGTTCGGGTGAAAAATCCTTATTTGGCGAGCGAAATTCTTTCTCACGATAAAAATGTAGCTGAAACCATTCCATTCCTGAGATTGTGCATGATATTTTATTATAGCTTAAATCTAAACCTGTATCTCATTTATAAGCTACTGACTTCTATTTCACATAAATAAGTTGTAAAAACTCTCTAGTTTATTTATTAATAAAGAGAAGTGAGCACATATATACTTAGAAATTATCACTCTTCATGTATAACTCTCTAATTTCCTGCAAGCTTCTGGCAATGATAAGCTGCTCGAAGAAATGCTGAAAATATTTAACCTACAAAAGACTAGCGGAATGAAACTACGAAATAACCCATTTCTTCTCTGAGCCGCATTAAGTAATGCCTATTATTTTATCTATTGGTAACTGTCCTATGTAATTTTGTAGGCTTAAAACGATATTTTTTCATATTTGGGAGTGTAATGCTGAAATTTCATGTTATGGAGTCCCAGAACTGAAGCATCATCCGTAGACGAGGATTAATTAGCATCGTCTCACTCAAAATAAAAAAGAATTCAACAGGTTCGGCTGATCGCAGCGACATCGGCGGCTGCAGGAGCACTGCACTCACTGCGGCCATCGCCTCTTTTCCTTTTTTTTTTGAGTAATTTTTTCCTCGATATTTTTGTAGCGCGATGCAGCTTCCATGAATGCCCGCATTTTCGCGAAATTACTGCATTTTCGTTGCGTTAGGATTTATTTATTATAGCAGGCTAGATGTCATGTTTTTCATGTTGCAATGGTATGTGTTATCCTCGTTGATACTTTCTGTTTCTGCGTTCAAACTCCTTTTATTGGCTTTTCGTGCTTCTTACTTTCGTGTAGCTATTTTACAATTAACGATAAATTTATGCAAACCGACTTTCGTTTACAAAGCAAGACTTCGTTAAAAAAATGACGGAGTACCTTCGTCAATTCGGTAGACAACTATTTTTGTAAAGGTCAATTTTTGTAAAGCTTGTGTTGGCTATATTTTTGTAAATTTTTGTAAAGCTTGTGTTGGCTATATGTCGCGAGTGAGCATGTGCAATCTTCCTAAGTTATTATTTAGCTTATTGCATGCAATCAATTTATATTGAGCCCGTGCATGTAATGTTCTTAGATTGAGCCCAAGTATAAATCTATCTAGACTGAACTCGTGCATGCCGATCTTCGTAGATTGAGCCAGAGCAAGCCATCTATCTCCTGAGATTGAGCCCCGGCAAGCAATGTGCCAAAGATGGACCAATCCGTGCAATCATCCGAGTTTCAGGCTTTCAGCCCGGGCTAGCAATCTGCAGGGCTTGAGCCAGCCATGCACGATGCTGCTCTAACCACGACGTCTGCAGGCTGCATGCCCTGTGCCGGAGGTCACATCGTCGTGCCCAGGCTGCGTGTGTCTGCTGCGTACGCAACAGCGCAGCTCTGTTGCTTGCCCTTCTCATTCAGCAGAACGTCGTCCAGCGGCAGCATAAGAGTGCGACTTCCTGTACCATACCGAGCTATAACGCGGTGCCCTTTACTGCTAGAATAAATTTACGATCCTGACAAGAATAGCTTGATAATGAGAAGACAAATTGTCTTGGTGGCCTATGAGAAGTGAAGCTATTTTGAGGGTGGCAAGTACAGTATTAGCTGAACTAGTAGGGGAGAGTGAACTGCTCAGATGATGTTTCAGCTTTGATATAATTAAAAATCTTTTTGATTGCCGGGCACAGGAAAAATCAATTCAGTTAAAATCACTGCCTCTACTACCATGCAGCGGTGGCTAAAAGACCTTGCTAAACTCATCGTATATCAATCGCTAAACATCTGCTGAATTCCTTTTAGAAAAATCCACTTCAGAAACTCGCTTGCGGAGTTCTGCACTTATATGTTCACTTACCCACACTCGTCTCATCTGCATCATTGCCTACATCGCGGTTGATTGCTTGTGTTTGATTAAAGTTATTTATGATTCACTACTGCGTGATTAATGTTTCACTACTATTCCAGTCCTGATACCGCTATTTAATAATTAAAGGTTGACGACTTTGCAGGATCAAACAATGACGATGTAAAAAATAACAAAAAAGTCAGCTTGTTGCATTAGAACTTCTTGGGCTCCCGTCATCGACTAATATAATCCATGCAGGAAGAAATAAGAAAAACAGTTAGGTTTGAAATTGTTCAATCGCAAAATGTCACATTCATTGGAGTTTACAATGGAGATGCAACGCAGCTTATTGTTCAACGAATTTCCCGTAAAAAAGTAGTAGTGATTTAAAAAGTATCGGGTCTTGCCTATCAGCCAAGATTATAATTTCACTCGATTTAATGAATGAGTCGATTGCAATTTCAATTGGCTTAGTAATCACGACGTAATGATGTCGCTGGATTCAAGAATCCTGAGGACGTTTTGCTGGTGTATTTTTCGTTGCATTCAGTAATTACTGAGAGATTCAAGCGTATATGGCTTCTGATTGCAATGGAGTTGTTGAAGGTCAATGCAGTGTTCAACGAAGGTTCCTGTCACAGGAAAGAAGACAATGAAGCTTTTGTGATGAGCCAGAAAGTGTACGTTTTTCTCGACATGTGGCTCCTTAACTTGAGTTTGAGTTGTAGCCAAAATTGCACCATTTTATACTACTTAAAATACAAAGTCCAAGAAGTTGGTTCCCAAGCACACAGGATTGCCAATCTCGCACCATGTTTACGTCAATTTTGCTGTCAGTTAATTGATTTGCCAAATTATGGACTTGTAATAAAATTGATCAGATTTCGGAAATTTATCCAGCAAATCCATAGCATTTTTCCATTCGCTTAGGAAAATAATGACCGCAAAGGCCTTTTCTTGTTGAACCTGGTCAGATTTATTTCCGTTACTGGGACAGTTATAATCATGCATATTATAATTTTTGTTCTCCACAGAACTCAGATCTCCTAGAACCAACGCAAATCTATCAACAGAACTATTGGGAGCTGAGAATAGAAATTTGAAATGGTTCTACTAGTTGACTTCCGATTTATCTTTGCTTCAGTTTGCGTGAATTCTCATGTTCTGATTTGCTGAGCTTCATGAAGCCCAATTTCCACATTTTCCTCGGATTCTATGTGTTTCTGGGGTTATGCTCGATTTCAAGTCAACGTCAGTTACTATGCTGCATTTTGGAATATCAGAACATTTCTGTTTTACTATATCGGCATTCCTCTCTGTCCAAGCCAGTGCTATCAACATCAGATTTGCCTATGCAAATCACGTTATTTTTCTTCATGATTGTCAACCGCATTCTTATTGATCTTATTGTTATCGGTAGCAGATAAAAAATTGGAATGTTATCTAAATAGTATCAGTGTCCCAATAATGCACTTAGGATTGTTAACATTTCAGGACGAAGGCACGCGACACCTGCCGTGGGGGCGAAGGTGAAACCTTTGATGCGGCTTTTGTCCGAGTCTCGCTTCTCCTTGGCGACCTCCGTTTTTGCAATTACCCTTAACATGCGAGAGCCTCACCCTCTTGCCATTCTTCTTGCATACCGACTTCTGCGTGACCTATTCTCTTGAAAGCCATCTTGATAAATGCATGTTCTGTACGAGAACTCTGATTTAGCCTTTTACTACTGAACTTGAATTTCTTGCTTCGTGACATCTATACTCCTGAATAATGTCCTAACGAAGTATCTTCACGAAGATCAAGTTTCATATAATATTCGCGAGGGCAATGTAGGGAAACTCTCCTTAGAGCTTTATTTGAAAAGAACGATAGATTCTGAAACTAAATGAAAATGTTTGATTATTGTTGAACCATAATTCAATTTTTTCATCTACAGTGGATCGTTTGAGCTCGAAGTCAGCTCGATTGATTTTACAGGACAGGCGGGGCTTGCGAACACTGTTATTTTTTTATGATTTCACTCCTTGAATACTTTCTTCGTTTATTCTAATTATCTGCCAGACGACTTCTGCAGGTTGAAGTGGAGATGCGAACTTGGTACCAATATAGTCTACTTTACACCTACTCACTATCCGCCCCTTTGAGTCCACTCTTGATAGGCTATGCGATTGCTGCCGTTGGTCATAGATAAACACTGCAGCTCTGTCGTGATTAAGTGCAACACTTCTAATATCATGTCGTGTATTGCACCATCCGCTCCCTTGAGACACATCGGTAAAATTTTTTGAAGCTTCATACCACTTATTTCTACCCTTTCGTTCACAAGGAATTTAAAAGCAAAGAAAACGCCAAGAAAATTCACCATATCGATATTGAAAACGTTTCGGAGTCCAGCTCCATCATCAGTTCGACTAAACTAAAAATGAATAAAATCACTTTAAAAGTCAAAATTCAAAGACAGACATAAAACCTAAACAAGACCTAACATTATATCG